TGTCACATCTGCAAGAATTATAAAAGCACCAAAGTGTTATATTCACTGCATACTGAAATTTCCCCAAACTATTCATAACTTAGAATCCCTGAACCCTATTTATATTTTGCAATTTACCCATACTCAAGATTCTATTAGATTATATATATACATATACATACACACATTTTTTTTTAAATCTTTTTGAGGCAGGGTCTCACTATGCAGTTCAGGCCGGCCTTGAGCTCACTTTGCAGCCCAGGCTGTTCTCGAACTTGGAACAATCCTCCTGCCTCAGCCTCCTGAATACTAGGATTACAGGTGTACACCACCATGCCTTGCTTAGACTGTATTTTTAAAACTATGTTACTGTCATTTCTTCAAAACATGAACATGAGGCCTGGAGTCATTGCCCTCTTGCCTGAGGGTCCTGCTTGCTCCTGCAAATAAAACAGTCCTGTCTAAAGAGCCTCAAATGCAAGGGTCCAGCTCTCTTAACTGCGTGCCTTCTAGGAGCTGGTGAGGAACAAACTGGGGCTCCGGCTCACTCACAGAGATTCAGCTATTTGGATTAGCATTAATGCAAAGTCCAGTTTGATTGGCAAAATCATTTGGTTGCAGAGGTAGAAAAGAAAAACTTGATGCTTCAAGTTTTAAACTCAATAAAAAGCACCATTAATGGCAAAAGCAAATTCATTTGGAATCAAGTAGTTTAGGGGGCCCTGGAAACAGACTTGAAGCACCATGCTGTACACCAGCCTCCTGCCTGCTTCCAGGAGAATTTTCAGATACCTCTGGCAACACCGAATTCATAGATCATGTACACTTGTTTCCTTCAGACACCACTGTTTAAAACGTTTCTCTCTTGCTCTCACACACCCCATTCTGACAGATGTGAATATGGGATTGTAGTAAAACCTGTGCCAGGCTTATGTTCAATGACTATGCTTTATTTAGTGTCACCCTGCATTATCTTTCCTACCAATACATCCACGTCCTACCAAAGTATTACATAATTTAAATACGTTGACCTAATCTTTTTCATAGCTCTGTTCCAAGGAGAAATATGCACAGTCCTGGCAAGAGTTGGGCAAAAAGCAAAAGAACATTTCAAAAGCAAAAGTGAACCAGAAGGAACTACCTTCAAATCCAAACAGCTGCTGAACAAAACCCCGACAACATTCATCCTGAGTTAGAACAATGCATAAGGAAAACAGACGAAGCACACTCATTACGATTAGGAACACCAACCATCATCCTCAGCCGTCATCTAATTACCATAAAGGGTAATTTGTTCCCTTCAAGGAATCCGTAAGTCCTTTTCTCAGTGTTATTCTCTTCCTTTTCCATTTAATAGAGCACTGTTATGATGCTATTGGCTGTTTCCCTCTGCAGCTTCAAAATCTTACCGTCTGTACGCAGAACCCTCAGCTTTGGACACGCTCCCTTCTCATGAACGCAACCCTCGGCTTCTGATTACTGGGCCCTTCTGTTCAATCCCAAACAAAAAATTACAGAACTTTCACCACCCACCACCATGACCTTCCAATATCTTATTTTAAATCATCCCCACTGTACTTGGTGGCTATAAAGAAACAGTGGTCATTGACTTACACAATATTAAAATTCTAGTCTAGGGCTGGGGATTTAGCTCAGCGGCAAAGCGCCTGCCTGGGAAGCGCAAGGTCGTGAGTTCGGTTCCTGGTACCAGAGAAAAACCAAAAAAAAAAAAAAAATTCTAGTGCAGATCAATATCCATATAAGCTATGGGGTTAAACTTTCCTATACTGCAGTGCTTCGCAAGTAACTAGGGGTATAAGGTGGCATGCCAAATAAACAAGCCGCAGAACACGTAAGACAGAATGGCCCGCTTCATGCACTCATAATTGAAAGCGATTTTTTATATTTAAATATGTATCTATTGTAGGCTATAAAAATTGCATGAATTTTTTTAAAAGGTCCCAAGAAAGTTTTAAAAGGGGCTACTGTGGCTACTCTTATCTGTCCAAATGGGTTCTGGCAGAAGAGGCTGAGAGAACATCGTCTTTCAGTAAGTTTCACTGAAGGTGAAACTGCTCTGCTCCCGGTCCCATCTGCTCTGGACTGCTCCAGCGATCAGTACTTCTACCTGGTGGACTTTATGAGGAAACTGTTTCACAGGACTAAGCACCGGGACCTCAGGCACACACGGCAGCACCAGCCATGCGCTCTGTGAAGAGGGAAACGAGCTTCGGGAAAATACACCACTCTCGGCTCTGACCCCACGAGCAGCGTTAGCTTAAAAAAACACAACAAGAAAGACTGCTACTCTGGAGCATTCAACATTCATTCATTCACTCACTTACTGTGCAAGGCTGGGCTTAAACCCAGGTCTTGCACACTCTAGGCAAACACTACCGCTGAGTTACATCCCCACTACCTACTACCTTTCTATCTTGGCATATTCAAATGATAAAAACATGTTTCAGCAGAGAGGCAACATGATATAGAAAAAAAAAAAAAGACATCAAATTTTGGGTAGACCTGGGCTCAATAATGCACACCTGTGACCCCAGCACTTAAGGAATCTAAGGCAGGAAGATCCTAAGTTCAAGTCCTCCCTGGGCAACTAAGCAAGACCCTGTTTCAAGAAACAAACAAAAATAAAAATAAAAATGGCTGGGGATGTAGTTCAGTGGAAGAGCACCCACGGGTTCAATCCCCAATACCACACACACACACACACACACACACACACACACACACATTTCTTTCCAGGTACGAAGAAGCATTTTGGCCTCAATTATGCCATTTATTATTTAAGAAAGTGGGCAGGCCTAGGCTATCTCCTCATCTCTAAAACAGGGAAGATAATAAGCTCAAATGGATAGGGAACTCTTGTAAACAATAAAGCATTAATAAAGTGTTAGTTTTCATTCACTTAGCTTCCAGAATGCATCAGCAGGAAATAATGACAAAAAACTGGCTTTTCTTATTAGGCATCTTCAAATTTTGACATGGTAATCAAGAACTTTCTTATTTACTACTTACATACAATATGCAAATCTAAAACCTACAGCCAGTAATGTAAAGATAGAAAATTTTATAAAAGATCCACACATTTAGACAGATCACTTATGTTAACATTTTAAATGAAGGGGAAGGGTGAACACTCTGTAAGATCCTATCAAGTGGGCCAAATTCACACTGAAGTTAAACCTAATAAGTGACAAGTCGAGCATGAAGAGACGCAGTGCACAAAACTGCAGAAATCGAAAATTAACAGTCTTCCACTGCCAAAACCAACAGTGCTGAGCAGGTCTGAGAATAATTTGTTAGATTCGTGTGAGAACCGTTTGACAGTTTTGTCAGCGCTTGCTTCACAAAGCCGTGGGAGCTCACTGCAGCCGCACACACTCCCCTCCGCCCAAGCAGACGGCAGAAAGCACTGAGAGAACAACGAAACGCGTGACGAACGGTAAACTCCAGACTGGGTAAAGTCGGTATTATAAAGTGGAGACCATTTCAAAAACATTACTTGAGCATTAGGTTTTTCCTTTTTTGTTTTGTTTTGTTTTTAATCCATTTCAAAAGGGCAACAGTAGGATGCTTAGAGAAAAACAGACAAAACCAACCCTGGCTTTAGAAGATTAAAAATACCAAAGGGAATGTCCTGATTTATCATTTAACATACAAAAAAAATTCCCCAAAGGTCACTTTTTTCCTTGAGGTTGAAGTAGATTTGCTCACAGAAATATTTCAAATCTGGACTCGAGAGCAGGGGCCGGAGCTCAAGGGCAGAGGGCTGACCTGGCACGTGTAAGGCCCTGGACTCGAACCCAAGCACCACCGAAAAAACTGGAAAATGAACACTGGACTGTCTTGAGCAAAGCAAACTTAGGAGAAAACAAATATGTAATGAGTCCTGTTGGTAAGTGCAAGGTCCTGAGTTCGATTCCCAGTACCAAAAAGAAAGACAGAAATGGGTCCAGGAGGGATCTCAAGTTTTAAAGAAATGTCTGATTGATTATCAGCTTCACTGACTAGCGTCTTCTCCCCTTCTGCCTAAGTCTTTGCATTGCTATCCGTGTAGGCCACACTATGAGGAATGCTCATGTCATTACCATACTTTCTAACAGTACCAAGAGTTAAAATCACAACATCTATAGGTGATAGTTCTGCTTCTTCTGTGCACTACTGTGTAGCCACAATACAAATTATTACCAACTCAAATAATTACAGAGACACTACCTGCCCAAGGATATGTCATTTCAATATAAACTTCTAACATTTTTATTTTCAAAACTACTACCACCAACTCTCATTTCGATCACAGCCCCTGTATGTACACATCCATTTCTATACAGGTACACACATCTAATGGATATCAAGCAAGTACTTTAGATGTATGCACATACAGCTTCGTTTTCTAAAAAGCCTTCCTATTAGAGCCTGAATACTGAGGCTAAAGATTCTGAATATTACCCAGTAATGAAAAATAATTTACTAAGAAATTTTGCATAAGGAAGTAACATAATGAATGCAGTGTTTCAGAAAAATTCATTTAGCAGATACGAATGAGGGGTGACGGAGATTATTTGGGCATCTGTGAGCACAAACCAAGTGTGGGGTAACATGGGTCAAAACAGAGACAGCAAACAGAAATAAAATGACAGAAGGAAGGCATGAGTAGCACATGCAAAAGGCACTGTGCAGGTATTCGTTTCCACTGCTGTGAAAGACCCCTGGGTGTGGGCGAGAGGAGCTGGGCATGGTCTGACCCACTCCACCCACATGCCTCTGGGCTCTACAGGCCCCACAGAGGTGGGCCAAGGTGGGGCTCACTCATGTGGGAGACTTGGGGGGCTCTGGTCATTGGGCTAGGACAGCCCAGAGGGCACTGAAGATTCAATCAAGCTCCAGTAGGAGGAATTATTCCTGTCAGAGAAAGAAGAAAGGAACTGGGCCCTAACAGAGGGGAAAATTACTTTCTCTCTTCTATAAAGTCCACAGTTTATTCCAAAGATACGCGGGCAACTTACCTCAAATGTCTTCACCTTTTCCATTGTAATCAGACGCCTTGATGTGTGACTAGAAAGCTTCTGCTCACAGTTGCTAACGAGTCTCAGGCAAGGGTGCCGGGGCACCATCTCCTCGGTGTACCTGAGGGAGGAGCAGCTCACGGTTAGGGACACTCACGCACAGCCCGTAAAACTGACATATCGAGGACTTATTTACTGCATACAATTTTCTGGTTTGTTTTAGACTTTGTTATATGTCCTGACTTGCTGGGCTCTCAGTGTACGCTGGGGAAGAACAGCGGCAGGAATGAGGAGAGAGACAAGAGACAAATAGTTGGGTTCAAGCGGAGATCCCCTCTCTCTCAAGCCTAGGAGAGGACCTGCCCAAGAACGGTAGAGCATTTATTTATACCCTCGACAGGGTGATATTGATTTCAGCCTCTCTGCCCAGCCATCAGTTCTCAAGCTGCAACCGCTTGTTTACATGCTTCCAGGAGCTCCCATGTTCTCGGGCTGGCTTCGTGCTGCACTCATAATTACTTTCCAGCTTCAGCCACTCCCAGCAGTTATATAATCACAAATCTAGTTCATACATTTGAAGGTGGCAAATTAATAGTTAACTCAGTTTATCATTTTCTAGGCTGTGTTTGACGTTATTGTTATTGCTGATTACACCACTTTAGCCAAAGTGATGTAACTGTTCTAACCAGCTGTTCTTCCTGGCATTCCAAGACTGACATTGCCTAAGAGTCATAGAAAATACTGTGGGCCAGGGCCAACGAATTAGGGGCTGGGCCTGCAGACAGCAACTCCTCATCCCCAACAGACTGAAGAGATATGACCTTGCAACAGACTCAAAACCCCAAAACCAGCTACATCTGGAAGACACCTCTGAGAAGTAGTCATTTCCTAAGGGTTCTAAAAGCAACTCACCATAGGCAATGTATAAGCATCAAACTAGGAATTAAATTATAAAAAGAAAGAAAGAAGAAAATGACAAGACACTTAAACGAGACGCAATCCCAGACATCCAGCTCACCAAAGGCAAACTGGAGGGCAATGATGTGGCACAATCCGAAAGCCACTGACCTGGGGAGGGCTCGCTGGGTACAGGTATCTTTACAGCACTGACTGACAGTTTTTACTTTTCCCTTGTAAATCTTTCTGCCTTTCTGAACAGTCTTTGCACAGGTCTATTACATGGGTGATTTTAAAGCTCTGACACAAAGTGGGAAAGGTGCTGATCAAGAACTGTAGCTTGGCTTTAGTACCTAGCAATGGGAGGAATTCTCTTGAACTCACTTCTGCTTCCTTCCTTAGCTTTCCAATAATGACCATTTCAGCTTCACCTCATTCAGTAGTTCTTTAGTGTTTGCTAATCTATGGAAATGCTGTACTTCTTACAAAGTTAATGGAAATCAAATTTGGAATTTTCATACTAAGCATCTACGCTAGGAAGGAATGCGTTCTACAGCACAGGTGAAGCTACAGTAAAAACTGGAAACAGAAAAGACAAAGCTTTGACTTTCAGCTGCAAACAGCAAGAGCCATTGTGCCTGACCTAGTGTAGTTACACATTTACTAATGTTCCCCTGCTTAAAGGAAAAAATCCTTTTATTCCCTAGTGGGACTGACTTAAGTATTTTTATTAAAATACATCTTAAATATCTACAAATAAAAATAAGGTATAAACTCCTTTATCTAACTATAAAACCCAAAACAAATCTGCATCAAATCTAATGAACAAAACCAATATGATTTTAAATAATATTTAGGACATAAATGATGATAAACTATTAAAACAATGTCGCATTTGGTTAACAGATTATGAACATAGTTACCTACTTTGTATTTTCTTTTTGATTGGCTCTTTGATGTTAAGCACGGAGGGACATCATTTGGATCAACATTACATGAGAAATTTGTCTCGATCACTGCAGTGTTACAGCCCCCCATTCTATACCCCCCAGTCTATACCCGTGGGAGACTGGTTCCAGGACCCTTCACCCACAGATACCAAAATCTAACAGTGGGGATGGGGATTTAGCTCAGTGGCAAAAGCGCCTGCCTGGCAAGCTCAAAGTCGTGAGTTTGATTCCCAGTACCGGAAAAAAACCAAAAAAAAAAATCTAACAGTGCATAAAATGAAGTATTTGCATATAACCTATGCACAATCTCCTACATTCTTTAAATCATCTCTAGATTATTTATAACATCTAACGCAATGTAAATGCTATGGAAATAGTTGTTACACTGTACTGTTTAGGGAATAATACAAGAAAAACGTCTGAGTTCAGTACAAGCACAACCATGCTAGACCTAACTGTATTTTTGACCAAGGGTTGATTGAATCTAAAAAAACCAGAAATCATAGAGTAGAGGGCCAACTCTGTATTAATGAGCCCATCAGTTCAACAGGACACTCCCCAAATACCACAGTAAAACATTAAAAACTGCTATTGTATTTCATATAACAGACTCTGCAAACAGAAGATATAAATTGGTACTTTGCCCTGACTATTCTGAGAGTGTCTTAATTCTCTGTTTTTATTACTATCACCCTACAGGTGAAGTTACCTGAAACCTAAGCCAGACGGAATGGGTGGACCCTCAGAGACAGACTGGAGGAGCAGGTGGGACCTCGGGGCGGGAGCAGGATCTGCACTGGGTGGGGGGGGAACGTCGCCCAGCTTTGCAGATACACTAAAACCATGGAGAAGTAACATAGAGCAGAACTTGTACGGAATATAAATTATATCTCAACTTCTACTAAGAAGATATCTTAGTGTATATTCGAAAATATCCGAGTGTATAGGCACCTTGCTTTTGCACGAATCAGGTTTGATCGTCACTCATTTTCCTGAGTACCTTCCTGTCTCAATTACTTTCCAGCATCACTAGAGCTTTTCCTCCCATTTGAGAAAATAGTGCCCTGATTGGATATCTTTCTGAGAGTCGTCTCAGGCACACCCTATCCTGTTGCCTAGAAACACACAAAGAGCAGGTTCACTTCGCTGATCTGCACCACCAAAACTGCACTTGATACAATTAAAATTTATTCCCAGGGCCTACCTTGGGGCACATTGTTGGGCTCCTTGATCATGATTTTTTTTTAAAACAGGGTCTCACTATGTACTTCAGGCTGGCCTTGAACACATGAAACCTCCTGCCTCAGTCTCCCCAGTGCTGGGATAACAGGTGTACACCGCCACACCGCGCTATTTTTTTAATTTTTATTTGACAAACCACATAGTTATAAGGACATGTGATTTTTATATATGTATGTCATCACTTTTAACAGTAACACTAGCAGCTGGACTGCTATTAAAAGTCATTTTTCAAAAGTAACCCTGGAGCGTATCAGAAAGTGCATAATCTGGATGTCATGAAGTAGAGAACAGACCCCACGGACAGTGGCCCCGGCACCCAGCCACACAGGCTCCACAGCTCTGCAACCTCTGGGGCACCAAACATGCCTAAGCTGAATACAGCCCGTCCCAAATGCAGAGGACACAGATTTTCAGGATCATTTGCAAGCAGTCAAGATTGTACACCCCCAGAGATCTCACACAAGTCTGCATGGCAAGTACAAATGACACAGAGCAAGAGGAAGGACTGGTGACTCCCGCTGGAAAGGGGCGGCAACAGCGTCACCAAGTGGTGACAGTTAGCCTTGCAGGACGAACATCACCAGGTGAGCGCAAAAGAAACGGCATAGGGACAGCAGGAGCAAGGGAGGAAGGGGGGAAATCACAGATGCTCCAACACTGGGAGAGGCTGATGTCCTGCGGCGGGAAGTCTAGGTCCAAACTAGAAAAGTAAAAACAGTGGTGGCGGGTGAGTCACACTTTCTTTGCTGCAATTTATATCGTAAGAAAACCCTTCTTAACCATTTGACAATTTTTCAAATACAATGAGTTTTTAGGCAGTATTTTCTTTTATGCCTATCTGTAGTTTTCAAAATGCCATGGGTTTAAAAAATAACACCTGCACTTGATTACGTGTACTTCTTATTTTTAAACTCGAACCAAGTACCAGGATTTGGTCGCGTAAATTAATTCAATGGCAGGACTCACGATCGACATTCCCTATGCCAAAACCACAAAAGTCTTAAAATTAAACTGTGATAAGGCACAATTCAAATTAAATTTCTTTTTATTCCTGGTCCAATAAAAAGCTGCATTTCCAAAACAACGTAAGTAAATGAGTCCTAAACTGTTTAATTTGGAAGCAAGAACTTTCGTGAAACTTCTGCAGATGACTTTAGTCTTAAATTCATTTAGAAATTGTGTTATTTTAAAAGGAGGAAGATTTTGGGTATTACACACTGAAAATGAAAATAGTTCATTTTTTGCAGCACAAATTCAAGGTAAACTAAGTTCACTAGTAAGTCACCAATTAATAATGAATGATTCATTTTGATGAGATTATTTATGGTACAAAGAGAGACGAGACAACAGAAGTCTAGGAACGAACATCAGATGATCCGTAACTCTACAGCCCCGCAAGGTCCGGGAAACACACCCGTCATCTTCCGTCTGTGCTAGCCACACACAGTGCCAGGAAGGAAACAATTCCTCCATTCAGTGAAAGACCTATGGCAAAAAAGGAATGAATAAAAACGTATCACCCTCATCTTTTCTTGTTTTTTCTGGTGGTACTGAGGATTGAACAGAGGAGCACTGTAGTATTGGGCTACATCCTAGCCTTCTTGTGGGTTGTTTTGTTCTGTTTTGTTTTGCTTAATTTTGAGACAAGGTCTTGCTAAGTTGCCCAGGCTGGCCTTCATCTTTTGATCCTCCTGCCTCAACCTCCCCAGGAACAAGGGATACAGGCATGTGCCCTTCTTTTGCAGATTTTGAAAACATGCCTTTTGTTATAGGCATCTGGGAATTTCCCCTTGTGCAAAATTACTAAAACATAAAAGTCACTGAAGAAATATCCAGTGGCTGAGTAAATACATGTAATATCCATATATTCTTACTTATCTGATTGTCAGTAGTTTTGTAGTTTATTATTTATTGCAGTTTACTTTGTCATTTATTATTTAATTGTAATTACATGTAGTTAAGCACTTCTTTTATTCTTTTATAAAAAGTAAAATTGGAGGTACTTTAATTGTATTGGTAAAAACCTTAAAAATAAGAAGTACACGTAATCAAGTTCAGGTGTTATTTTTTAAACACATGGCATTTTGAAAACTACAGTTAGGCATAAAAGACAATACTGCCTAAAAACTCATTGTATTTGAAAAATTGTCAAATGGTTAAAAAGGGTTTTCTCACGATTTAAATTGCAGTAATACCCTACGAGAAAGTAAGGGAATATAGAAAATCCAATGAAGAAGCTTCAAAAAAAAGCTTCAAAGTCTCCAGAGAGACTCCCACTGGTCAAATCTGGGACAATTTGAGCAACAAATAATACTAATACATTACGATTCAATGAGAAATATAGGAATCCTTGACCCTATACCACTACAAACTTAGAAATTGATAGGTAAACGAGAAAGACGGGAGAGGAACTGACCAAGGGAGAGGGAGGGTGGGGGACGTGGCTTGGGGCAAAGCATGTGCCTGGCACGCACCAGGCTCTGGGTTCAACCCCAGTACTGCAGGGAAGAGAGGGAAAATGAATGATGGAATAGAAAAATCAACATTTGAAAACCACCGTAGTGGTGACTGTAAAAAATAGCACCCTCATCGATGTGAGTAGTGGTGCAATGGAGACCAAGACAGCAGTGTAGTCTCGGGATAGCACCCACGGAACCCGAATCAAAGGGAAAAATGATGACTCAGAGTGAAGGACCTGAAGGACAGCAGGGGACCGGATGACCAGATTACCACCCTCACGGGGGTGACCCTGCCCATGACGTGCCAGAGTCTTCCTACCAAGAAGGCAGAGCCTGTGTCTGCTCACAGAGGAAACATCAGGTGGATCCCGGCCAAGCTCAGCCCTCGGAGTGTGAGCCATGTACTCGATATGGCCGTGAAGGACACAAAAGATGGAGTGAGGAGGTATTCTAGACTGGAGGAGACTGAAGAGGTGAGAGAGGCCAAGACAACACATTTTCCTAGATGGACCAAAACTGGTAAAACTTGAGTCCACGAGTGGGACAGCAATGGTAATTTCTAGAATTACAAGGCTTGGGGTGGGAAGCAAGAACGCTCTTGTTTCTGAAAAATGCAACAGTGCCTAGAGCACCTCGTACCTGCAGCTTCTCAAAGGGTTTTAAAAGAGGTTCATGATAAGTCACGCACAGTGGTAAGTGTCAGGGGCAGATACAGGTTAATATTTGGAAAACATGGATGGGCGTGCAGACACGAGTTTCTGGATGGTAACTGAAATTTTCCTGTAAGTTTGAAATTATTTCAGAATAAACTTTTAAAAATTATACTTCACTTTGAATTAAAACAAAAAATAAGTGGGCTGCTGCAGTTAGGGGCAGCAGCAGGAATGAGAGAAGAGGGCAAAGGGGCAATTACATACTAGTTTTTCAAGCAGCATTTTGCAAAAGAAAGAGGAAAGCGAATGGCAGCTGGAGGGCCCCTACACGAACGATAGAAAACGTTTGTGTTTTCCAAATAGGAGAAACTGGAGAATATTTCAGGATACAATGTGTCTAAGGTAGCAAACTTTCTGCATAGAGATGAACAAATATATTCTATGAAATAAATTTTTCTTTTATGTTAATAAAAATCACACCCCTCACTTCAAATACCAGATATGAGAGATCTGGCAGGCTGCTGAAATAAAAGAAACATAGCACCGGCACTAAGGAAAACCATTAGCTAGCTTTGGACAGTCATTTTGCTCCTTGGAATGACTTTTCCTCATTTCTCAAATGTAGAGGTTACACGAGATTATCGCTGGCGACAACACAAAGCCAGCGTTAAGCGACGGGTATGAACGTGTCCTTAGAGCTGATAAACAGGCAGGGCTAAAGCCAGACAAAGAAACTCCCAATGCTACATTTATAAAGCGGCAACGAAAAGCAGGGCAGCTTCCAAGTGCTGAAGGACCGCCCACCCCTGTGGGAAGACAGGCAAACCACCACGCTTACAAAGGAATAATGACTTGTAATAAGCATCAGAATTAAAACCATCTTTAAAAAATGATTTCTGTGGCGGACTGAGAAACAATTAAATCTGGAGCTCCACACTACTTTGCAAGTCTAAAGACTCCATCTTTTTTGAATACCTTACCTTTCACTCTTGCTTTATATACTCCGTTTATCACTTAATCCTTACTGAGTAATAAAATCCAAGTCAGTAATGTTGTATATAAACAGGGCCTTAAACATCTGTACAGCTCTCACGTTGGCCTTAGCTTTAAAAGAAATTTACTGCACTGAAAGTGACAGAACAGACCATATATACGGAAGCTGGCATGAGAGACGTAGATACGTGGATCACTCCACTGAGCTGTTGAAAATGACTTTAGACCGGCCACACAGTGACCAGACGCGTACCACTAGGCACACGCAGGCGCAGAGCTAAGAGGGGTCAACAAGTACGGTCCAGCTTTCCCTGTGAAGGGCCAGACAGTAAATATTTTAGACTTTTGTGACCACATGGATTTCTGTCACATACTCTTTTGTGCCTTAATAACAGCGCTTTAAAAAGGTGAAAACCAGCGCCGGGGTTATAGCTCAGCAGCACAAGCGCCTGCCTGGCAAGCGCAAGGTCTTGAGTTTGATTCCCAGTACCAAAAAAAAAACTAAAAACGTAAAAACCAGTCTTAGCTCATAGACTTTCAAAATCTAGCCTGAGAACCTAATCTAGCCCACAGGCTGCGGTCTGCCAACCCCTGCTACAAAATAAAAAGGCTTCACAATACAGTCAGGAGAGAGAGGCCTATTTTTCATATCTATGCAGGCAAACAAAGACAGTCTATACTAACTACACTAACTGCACAGTACCTTGACTGAAACCAGAGACAAGGAAAAAGTCATGTTAGATATGCAAATAATTGAGAAAAATGAAGGTAAAACTAACATTACATACTCGGGTGTATACACGGGTAACCAGTAGACGAGTCTTCCACCTAATACAAGGGTCTCTGCTGCGAAGTTTAACAGGTCGAAGAACATATCGCTCAGGTGGTAACTCAAGGAGACTGGAACGTGGCTTTCTGGGCTACACAAGAAAACAAAATTTCAAAAGCCGTGCCAACCTTAATATTTTTTTAAAATCAACTAGAAAGAAGCACACTTCTCAAAGGAGTAACCCACGCTATGTAAACATCACTTACCATTTCTCTATCCCCTTTGGTATTTCCTTCTGTGAACCTGATCTTCTTGTAGATTCTCTGATACCATATGGAGCTAGACAGAAAGCACAAGGAAGACGGATACGGATAGTGAGAAGTCACCACAGCACTGCGACGGGCTCACAGGCATCACGCGCCTCTAGGAGCGACGCTTCCAGAAGGACTCATCGGCCGCGGGCTACTCCAGCTGAGAACACGGGACGTAAAAAGCTGACAGAGAGGAGACTGCGTTCTTCAAAAAGGTCGATGCCTCAAAAAAGCAACGTAAGGCTGTGGAACTATTCCAAATTAAGGAAGGCTCAAAACAATATTATTACTGAACATAATACCTAACTCTGGAGTAGATCCTGAGGGGAAAAAAATACACTATAGAGGATATTAATGTGTCAGCCACAAAAACTGGATGACAAACTGCAGAATAAAGTATTGTGTCAATTTACTGAAACTGAAAACCACACCCTAGGAAATGCACACTAAAGTATAGAACTACCATGCATCCAGCTTACTCTCAAGAAAAAGTAAAATTACACGTTTTATACAAACATGCATACATAGTGGGAGAGCAAATAAACTGTTAATCAAAACTCACCCAATTTTTATCAAGTCACTCAGACTGCCAGTAAAACACCTGGATAATTCTCTTTTGTAGATCTGAAAACATCTGACATACCAAAGAACGAGAGACGGCTGAGAAAGAAGGTCAAAAGTGGGCCAATATTTACAGCTACTGCCAAGTAGATGGCTGACCTCCTCTTACACCACTGCCCAGAAAGCCCAAGACCTCGGGAGGCGTGGAAAATAAGTCCTCGTGTAAACTTCTGAAGTCGGGTGGGTTCACAAGGCCCACGGTTCACAGAACCCCAAGTTTCCTACTTGAAAAGACACCGGTGAAAATCTGTGAAAAGACACGAGTGAAAGCTGGTGCTACAGCACCACAAAGGCTCACACGTGGAGAAATGTGTGACATCCGACACTCTTTTCTGTGAGACGGGATACCTTGATTGCAAAGGACATTTTAGCTCCGGCTGGTATACTAATAACCAGCTGCAGTCAACATAAACACAAGTACATGCCTCGAAAAAATAAGCTGAAGGGAAGAACGGGTGGCAAGTTAGTAATATAAAAGGAGGTAAGTAGATGACATGTTAATATTTGTGTAGAAACAAAATGTTTGACTCTTAATTTTTTTTTTTTTGGTTTTTCTCCGGTACCGGGAACCGAACTCGTGACCTTCCGCTTGCCAGGCAGGCGCTTTTGCCGCTGAGCTAAATCCCCAGCCCCAACTCTTAATTATTTAAGTTGGTAAACTGTCTTAAATTCATCACCTCCTCCTTACTGTGTGAAGGAGTAGAGTGGGAGGAATGCTAGTACAGGCTGGCATGCTGTGTACACAGGTCGGTACATTTTTATACTTTAAAAGGCTTTAGGAAAACTAATCCCACCCAAATGTTTATAAAAAATGAATAAATAAACTCACGATCCGTGATGATTGCATCAAAATACATGCCCTTCCTCCAGGAAGGTTTGGATGCATCTGAAACCAGGACATCAAGGTAATACTTTTCTAAGCCATACTGCCGAAGGTTTGCCCTGATATTTTCATCTGGTCCTCTCCATTTCTGGTTTTTCCTAGTAGCCTTTCCTGAAGGAAAACAAAAAGGAAGGAAGGGAGCATTAGATCAAGTGGAGCTTTCTTTTCTATTCTTTAACTAACAGTACTGTTTTTGTACATCTGAACCCTGTAAAATTTTTCATTTAAAATCTTAATGTAAAAAAAATCTTAACCTATATAATGAAACCGTTATTTTATTTCAACTCAGATAAGCAATTATTTTATTTCAAAATATAAAATATGTTTTGAACAGTAACATAGACTGATACTTACCTGATTTCATCCTGTCCTCTCTCAAGTTTTAAACTGCCTTAAAACATTCATCCAACACCTTCTCAGCAGAAGCATTTACTAATGGGACTCAGAGTTGCACAGAACATGGCCACCTCCCCCGGCAGCCCAGCGTGCTGTGTAGACCCAGCGTCAGATCAAAGGCGCAGAAATGAGGAAAGCTAAGCACAGTGGGGCCTTCAAACACAAAGCCCAAGAGCCATGAGGGGGCAGAAAAGCTCACAGAATTCTAGCTCAGAAGACATAAGTGGATGATAATGCCTGTGATTAAGATCAGAGAAACCAGAAGAAAAAACAAGCCAGGAGATTGTCTCAGCTATGCCGTCACCAAGTGCCTTGAGGTACGTGCAAAACATCGGGAAAGAGATTCTGCGCTGAGTGACAGTCGGCAGGGGGTTCAGGGCCGGAACTTAACACACTTGTGCGAGAGCAGTAGATCAAGTTGAGTCCATAAGAATGATTGACCTTTTTATTAACTTAGGTGCTAGCTACTTAGAAGTTTGCTCTCTAGTAATTACTGATAGATTTATACTCTTTTGTATTCGGACCACTTTACAATAAAAACAAACACAGAAGTCAAAAGAAGGCCATGATTGAAAACAACATGCACAAGGGTAAGAGCAGTTGGTCAAACAGAAATAACACCTGAAAAAAGGTGGTGTTTGGCATATCTGGTTCAACAGCAAAGACTCCACCACAGCCCCTCTACTCACCCAAGCCGTGAACTGTGTTGTAGTCGATGTCTGTCCCACACACATATGCGCCAAAGTGAGCCGACGCTATCAGCAGGCCACCTAAAAAATTATACAACTGTGATGGCTCCACCAGGAAGTCCACACCACTGTCTCTTCCCCTGTTTAATGTGATCTGGAGTTTCACTAACCAGCTATAGGCAGAACACCCTAGAATGTCACCAGTCCTGGCCATATTTAAAGCCTCAGAGCAGAAATGATGCACCCTAGGCGGAGCTCACCGAACTGGCCGTAAAGCAGAGAATCAAGATATGTCTGCATCATTATTTCCCACAGGATTACTCAGAGTACACTTTTTCTAAATCAAAATAATGTATATTCAGACATTTTTATCTTGAGAATTTATACAAAGTACCTTGTCCCTTTCTTAAAAGTAAAAATGAGCACATAAAGCTGCTTACACAATTAAAAATACATAAATTCTAATAATTGGGTTTTATTCCCTCTAAAGTCAAAGTTTCAAACACCTAAAGAGCACATAATTCATACAGGGGACGTTAATTCTTACAAAAGTTAAAACATGACCATCATCAAGACATCAAAGAATGACAAATGCTGGTGAGTCAGCATGGGAAAAGGAACCCTCTACGCTGTTGGTGGGAATGTAAACTAGTACAACCACTATGGAAATCAGTATGGAGAGTCCTCCGAAAGCTAAAAGTAGGTCAGGGATACAACTCAGCGGCGCAGCGTCTGCCTGGCAAACACAAGGTCCTGAGTTCAATTTCCAGTACCAAAAAGAAAAAACCTAAAAGGAGAAATCGCATTTGACCCAGCTATTCCTCTCCTAGACATCCAGAATTAAAGACATCACAGTGATACATGCGTATCTATGTTTATAGCAGCACAGCTCCTAATAACTAACTCTTGGAAGAGGTCCATCAGCAGACGAATGGATAAAGAAAATGTGGTGTTTATGCACAGTGGAATACTACTCTGCCATGAAGGTAAACTCCAGTCATTTGTAGGAAAATGGATGCACTTTGAAATCATTGTTAAGTGAAATAAATCAGACACACAAGCTTAAAATATCACATGGTTTCTCTTATATTAGAAGCCAAAATTAAAAATAAAGACTAGGGGGCTGGGGATTTATCTCAGCGGCAAAGCGCCTGCCTGGCAAGCGCAAGGTCGTGAGCTCGGTTCCCGGTACCGGAGAAAAACCAAAAAAAAAAAAAAAGACTAAATAACAGATAGATCCTAGGAAGTAGGGAGACAGATCCTTCTCAAATGGGAAGGGGATGAACAGGTGGATGGAGGGGAGAGAGGGAAGTAAGATGCCACGTACCAACACTGTACATGGCAAAGATGTACTAACAAAAAGACATGGAAAATATTTTCATTCTGGTGATCAATCACATAATTACCTTAGTTTAAACTATATATATATATATATATATATATATATATGATTTCCTTAATTATTAATAGTGAACAAAGTACAAAAGAATACAATTACCTTTCTGTTTAATTACTGCTATGACCAAAGAACCAATGTCCCAACACAACTTATCCAAACTAATTTGAAGCTGTAACTACCACACACAAAGTAAAAGCCTAGTAATTACTATAAAATAACAAAACTCTTTTAAAATAAAAAATCATATAAATTTTCAAGGTTACGGAAATTTTTAGTAATTGTAGTCTTCATTACACTTCTCCTTTTTATCCATTCACATTAAACTGCTTTAGTGCATGAGCAAGTCCTACCTAACTATAACACGGAAATCTCTGTTAGTAAAGCTGAACTCGGAACTAGGCTTAGCCTACCAAATATGCAAAGAGGGGCAAGGGGAAACACCAGGGCTCTTTCCCCGTCTCCTTAAACGTAACGTCTGAAATTGAGACGGGTAGTACGGAGGCTCGAGGTCCACAACTCGATGTGCTGCTCTCATAGCCCCTGGTTCTCCATGGGAGTCCACGTTCGCAGCACAGAACGATCACACTCCTCATGGGGGGTGGCGTGCGTGCGTCACATCTCCACCCCTCACTTCCCCTCCGTCCCCCGCCGCGCCACACCCGCCACTTCTTGGTCCCTTCTCATTTGTAAAAGGTCTATCTCCTTGTTTCCTGTTACCAATCTTTTATTTGGCTCTTTAATTTATTTGTACTTTGGGTACCTCATTTAAGGCCAACCATGCAATATTTAAGCTTGTGCATCTGATGTATTTTGTTTAACATTATGGATTCACGGTGCATCCATTTTCCCATAAATGACTCAAGTTTATCCCTCTTTATGGCAGAGTAGTACTCCACTGTGTATAAATACATTTTCTTTATCCATTCATCTGTTGATGGACATGTAGGTTTCTTCCAAGACTTAGCTGTCATAAATTCTCAAATGGGAAGGGGATGAAGAGGTGGAGGGAGGGGAGAGAGGGAAGTAAGATGCCATGTACCAACACCGTATGTGTTGCTGCTACATACATGGGTATACATGTATCACTATAACACGATGCCTTTATTAACTGTTTTGGGAAGATACCGAGTTGGGGACTAGCTCTACCAGAGCTATTTAAAACACAGTCTGGTACCAATTGGTTTCCATAGTGTAGTGGTTATCACGTTTGCCTCACAATCTGGTACCATTCCTTAAAAATACCTTGCTCATGAAAATACTGTAACTGACTCATTCCTACCAGAGCCCCTGAGGAAGAGAAATGGATGAGTAAAAGAACTGCAGAAAACAAAACCTCCTACCCAAGTCCTGAAAGCGCTGATGTGGGAGGTAAGAGAACAGACCTCGCACATCTCAGTCCAGACCTGGAACAGTGCGTGCTCAGGAAAGGTGCTGCCCGAGACAAGCAGGGTCCTCCCGGCCCCTCCCCTGGGTCGCGGGCATCCCTGCAGTGCTGCCGAGGAGACAGATACTCCTGGCAAGGGAACAGAAATGCTTCCCGAGATCCCACACCAGCACCTGACCCATGTGGTTAGAGAAAATTGTGAGAAGACCCAATGTACAGTCCACTGCTGAAGGATGGATCATCTGTTAGACTGTACCTGCTACTTAACTTGGTGCCTCTTACCCTTTTAAACCGGTTTCTTGGACTGGTCACGTGTAATCGTGATTATTTAGTTGTTCTTTGGATTACACTGACGTATTTTGGGCCTGCAGTTACACTTTTTCTGGACTTTGCTTGGGAGCTTTTTGGTGGAAAAGGGGCCGCCAGGAAATGAGCGTGGCACAGCGAGGAGGAGGCGCCCCGACTCGCCCACTGTTTGTGTGCCATCGAAGTGAAAATTCCACACACGGGATCTACACTCACAGTCAGGGTTCCAACTTCTCATCACTTAAGTAGTACCCACTTTAAGGCCAGGGCAATACGGTCAGGAAACAGGTACGGAATCTTCCCGAAAGTGGAATCTAGTCCATGACATAAAAATGATTTCTTTTTTTTTTTTAATCTGTAGAAAAAGAAGTAGAAAGCAAAGCAAATGTGAAAAACTGCAAGACAAGGGTTGCTTCTTGCTGACACAAAGGGAAAAAAGGAAGTTGTTAAGAATACTTCACCTAAATAAAGGCTCTACTTAAATAAATACTAGCAGCCTGAGCAAAAAGATACAGTTAAAGACAGAACTCCTACTAAATTATTAGATTCAGCAAAAGGGGACTACAGAGTCCTAGGATGAAAGTGGGAAGCAGAGAATATTCCAAAGACCTCCACATCTCTGAATAGTGTCCTCCCAGGGCTAGGAGAACCTAAGGTCTGGATCCTCCACCTATTGTTCTGCAGGGACGTTTCAAAAAGAGCTCCGCCCCTTCCCCTATGCCTGTGAATCGCCCCGGGACAGTAAGGCTAAGCAGGACACACGTAGCAGTCTCCTGGCTACACTCTCATTCCTAGAGACACTGACTCACTTGAAAGAGGGGCGGAGAAAAACCAGAGCACTGTGCTCCCTACAGCAATCTGCATACATGTGTGCCAAAAGAATCACAGATCTAAATATTAAAACTGAAACACTAAATCTGCTGGAAGAGAAAGTAGGTAGAACTCTTAAGCACACATCTGGGCAAAGACTTTATTAACAAAGCCCAAATCACACAGGAAATATTACAAAGAACCAACCAGGATCTCATCATACTAAAAAGCTTTTGCATGGCAAAAGAAACCACCAACAGAGTGAAGACATAGTCCACAGAAAGGAAAAAGCTTTTTTACCAACTACTCCTCAGATGAAGGACTAACACTTAGAATGTACTTAGAATTCAAAAACAAAATCAAACTCCTAAATAAAAACCCAATCCAAAAATGGGCATCTGAAATGAATAGATGCTTCTCAGATGAACAAATACAAACAGCAAATAAGTATATAAAAAAAAAATGTTCCCCTTCTCCACCATTGGTGGAATATAAACTGGTACCATTAATATGGAAATTCCTTAAAAAGCTAAAATCCCTCTCTTGGTTTCTTCCCGAAAGAGTAAACAGCACCATACCACAGCAATATACGCACACCCATGTCCACTGCAGCACAATTTGTAATTGCTAAATCTTAGAAACAGCCCAAATGCCTATCAATAGATGAGTGGATAACAAAGACGTGGTTTTTATAGACAATAGAGTACTACTCTGCTGTAAAGAAGGATAAACTTGAGACATTTCTAGGTAAACGGATGCACTTTGAGACCATACTTTTAAGTGAAATAAATTAGATATACATTTTAAATATCGCACTGTTTCTCTGGTGTGAGAAACCAAAAGGATAAATAAGGACCAAAATGGACGACATATTGGGAAGTAGAAAGAAAATGTTCAAATGGGAAGGGGAGCAAGGGAGGAGGGAGAAGGAAGTTAAGTAAGAGAAAAGAATAGAAGGAAAAAAACAAAACTAAAGCTTTTGTAAATCAGGGGGGAAGGCTGAAGGGAAGAGAAAGGAAAGGGAAAAAAGAAGAATAAAGATATATTATATACAGGTGCAGAATTTCTATGAAGAATGTGATCATTATGTGTATCAAAAATGTACCAACAAAATTAATTTAAAAGCCAGGTGTGGTGGCACACACCTGTAATCCCAGCACTCGGGAAGCTGAGGCAGAAGGATCACAAGTTCGAGGCCAGCCTGGGCTAAATAGTAAGTTCAAAGCCAGCCTGGACTACATAGTGAGACCCTGTCTCAAAAAATCATCACCATCATCATCATCATCATCATCATCATAAAGCAAATCAGACCAGATGTCAACAACAGCTGACGCTAGCTTAGAATACATGGGTGTCCTGTGTTCTATATTTCTACTTGTAACTTTTGTATAAAGTTGATGTTATTTCTAATAAAATTTCAAAATGTGGAAGTGCTTAAGACAATGAGGATAGGAAATAAAATAAAAATAGGCATATGTTGAAGGTGGAATATATGTAGATTCTGGTAAAGTAGTGAGTTAATTCAACACCATCAAACACCAAAAGCTTTCCGTCAGCTTGAAATCTCTTAACAGGACACTATTCCTTCCTAGTCATGTGTGGTCACATTACTCCTTAGTTTATGGTGCCTTACCTGGCTGGCAGAAAAATTCTACGACACTGGGTGAGAGCGTGAGCCCTCGAGTTGATCTGTGTGAGATTGAACCCCATGAGCTTTCATGACATATAACATTGGCCAAGTCACTTAACCTACCTCTATGCCATAATTTCCTCAAGATTTTCAAACGTATCCCCATGTTAGCTGCTCCAAGAAGTAAGCTGGGGTGCGCAGCATAGTACCTATCAGTTAGCACTCTTGTCGCCAATACCTAGCACCCACAGCTTAATGGAGGAGGGGTCTAGTTTGCTTGCAGGTTCGGTCCAGGCTCAGCTGGCTCCAAGGCGAAGGCATCATGGCACCCAATCAAGACGAAGCTCCGCCCAAACTACCAGGCACTTCACCACTGATCACAGAGAAGGCGGCCATGGAGAGACTCCTACCACAGCTGAACCGCACAAAACTAAGCTTGACTACTCCCCAACTATGGGCAACAGCAAGCAAAATCAGTGTGAAGCCTACGGTAGGAGAACCCCAAGGTTAGGCCCAGCCTGGGTAACACAGCAAGACCTTGTCTCAAAAAAAAAAAAAAAAAAATAGGCTAAGTGTGGTGGTGCACGCCTATAATCCCAGTACTGGGGAGGCTGAGGCAGAAGGATCACTGTGAGTTCAAGGCTAGCCTGAACTAGTAAGACCATGTTTCAAAAATCCAAAAGAATAAAATAGTAATTAAAGAATGCTTAAAATGTAGCTCAGTGCAAAGGTCCTGGGTTCAATCCCTGATGCAAAAAAAAGAAAAAAAAAAAACAAGGCAATAAAGTCTCTTTACAGAGTCAGCACTACATTTAAAGTATTAAGAATTTCACACTAAATTCATTAGGGGAACACCCCAACCAAGTACAGACAACCAGTTCACAAGGACAGCACCCTCAAAGACACTGGTATTTACTTATCTAATATATTCATACTTACAATTCCCACAAACCAAATCGAAGATCAGATGACACAATAACTACTTTTCTCCATCCAAATATAAAATTATCTATTCAAAAACATTAAGACTTTCTTTTTAAGTGGGGTGTGGTGGCACACACCTGTAATCCCAGCACTTGAGAGGTTAAGGCAGGAGAATCACTGTGAGTTTGAGACCAGCCTGGGCTACAGAGTGAGATCCTGCCTCAAAGAAAAGAGACTTGCTTTTTAATTTCCATCAGCAGCACACACACTACAATTCTGTCATTCAAGTCCTTCCATCAAGAGCTTTCAGATTTAAATAAACCATAGAGCTTTTACACTATTTCTGTAACAAGGTTTTCAGCTATTAAAAATATGTATAGATAGACAGACACTCCCCAGTAATGGCTTATTTGGAATAAAACCCACAAAATTCTATCAGAATCACCTATAAAATGTACTCAATACTGTAAGCACTCAATACTGTAACACAAGTATGAGTCTGTCTCTTAGGTACTAATAAAAATTAAAAGATCATTTGTCCACTTAATCTCTCACCACAAATATTGCTCTGACCTTCGCTAACACATCCAAGGAACATCTCTACACCAGCATAACAGTTCAGTAAAGATACCTGTTCCCACGAATGGATCAAAGACAACATCATTCTCCTTCACCTGCCCATGGTTGGCCATTATGAAGGACAGGCCAGCATCCATGCTTGTATTCCCAATGAAGTGTCTCTTCTTGACACTGTACGACTGAATCAGCTCTCTCTGTCCATCAGCGATCTGGAGCAGAGACAGTTTTCAAATGCATGCGAACACGCACAACGGATCTGAGATAATAATGCACAGTAAAACACAGCATCAGGCTGGTGGAGATTCTTCCTACTTACTACTACACCAAGCTCACTCCTTTAAAATAATGAGACTGCGGCACTTACTGCCTTTTCATCTAATTTTTTTCCTTTTTAAACCAAATATTAATTAAACTGAAATACCAGTTATCCCAGGGACAGTGGTAAGCCTTCCTCATCTCTTTTTTTCTAAATAACAACAATCTAAATAGGAATAATCCCGATTTTCAGCATCCACTCCCCCTCCAACAGCCTCAGGAGGGGACAGGACAGTTGGACAGCAATTCCAGTCCTTCACACAGCAGAGGATTGAGATGTGACTCCTCACAAATGAGCTCTCACCACACAGCAGGCTGCCCTTCCCTCCTCCGTCCACAGCCAGGCAGGGTGGTGCACCCCTATAAGGCTGAGGCAGGAGGATCCAAAGTTCAAGACCAGCCTGGGCAACTTAGTAAGACACTGTCTCAAAATCTTAAAAAGGCTAGGGATGTAGCTCAGTCAAATCTGGTAAGTCTTGTTTTTAATTTCAACAAAGACACTTCTTTCTCCATAAAAATATGAAACAAACCACAATTACATACACTTCACCAATTTTAACCCAAACACCAGCACTGATTCTTTACTTGCTTTACAGTTCTACATATAAAGTTAAACACAAAGAAAAGCATTCAGCTCTAAACCAAAACCCAGATCAAACCCCTCCCACATGGCAGGCAAGCGTTGTAACACTGAGCTACACCCCCAACCTGCACTTAGTGGTTTTTTGTTTGTTTTTTTGGTTAGATTTTCAGGTTTTTTTGTTTGGTTTGGTTTGGTTTTTGAGATAGGGTCTTGCTATGAGGTGCAGGCTGGTCTTGAACTCACTAAGTAGCCCATGATGGCCTCAAACTTGTAGCAACCTTCCTGCCTCAGCCTCCCAAGTAGTGGGATTACAGGTATGCCCAATGATATGCACTCAGTTTAAAAACAAATGAAGCAGAACACTTCCTCACCCATCTACCAAAATAAATATTGTGTGGCTTCTCAGGGATGCAGTTTGGGTTCAAACCATAGTCCTCCAAAATAGAGAATATATGCTGTGGCTGCTTTAGGTTCACTTTTCCTTCAAATGGTAGAAATTCAAGCGCCTAGAAAATAAAAGCAATTCTAATGTCCTCTAAAATTTTACAAAGACAAGTACAGTAGTTCTTGTGTAATCACAATACCTACCATGCAAATCTGAAGTCAGCACTAAGTAAGATAAACCACAAAAGGGCATCGCGCAAGCGCTCAATGGCCCGAGGGGCTGGGCTCACACACCGCCCCGGGAGCCCACAGCAGTCCTGAGGCGCTCGGGTGCCTATGTTCACTTACATCTATGCGTTTGACTTTTTCTTCCTGTGTCAGTGTTTTATTAAAGGTGTGGATTTTTATTTTATATGTAGAGTCTGGATGCAGAAATGGAACCTAAAATAAAAGGAGGAAGTTTTTGAAGCTTAGGAATCCCAGAGAATTTGCACATACGCTTAGAGGAAACTGCAGTTCACTACGCACCATCTTCTCCACGGGGTAACTTTTAAGAGAACTGTGCAGCTCCTCAGTCGATTTTCCGTGACCCCATAGCTCAAACACAGACCTAGGAAACAAACGAGCGGAACGACCCTCAGTAGAGAACTTGGCTCACACGAGGACACACGCCAGTTACCTTACTAACATTTCGCGCTTGCTCCACCGGAACAATCACTGCTTATTTTATTCTAAGCTACAAATGAGAAGCTGTATCCTGGAAACATGTAAAACTCAAGTCCCAACACACAAAGAGGGTAAAACTTACACAGCACAAGAGGATTGAGCCCCGGGCCGTGAGCACACTAAGCACATGCTCCACCACGGAGCCACACTCCCTTGTCCCGACACTGTGCTTCTACACTAGATCAACTGATACAGCAAAGCCACAGAAGGTTTTAGTTAAATGGGAGAAAGGTTACAGAAAATCCAACTATTCCCAATGTCTTCTCCATAAAACAAATAGACCAGATTAAAATGTGATTGTAGATACCTAGGGATTTGCTATATTTTTCACTCCTGTGTGGCTTGCTCAAAATATTCCATGCTAAAAATAAACTAAATTTCAATCCTTATTCCACCACAAAGACTCTGAATTTTAATTTGTTTTCAGTCTGCGCCAGTGATGGCAAAGTTTTCAGATCTTTCAATGATACAAACAGCTTACCTACTGTAGGCTACGGGTTTATTTTTTTCTGTTACAATAAGATTATAAATGCTATCCTTTAAAAAGTGAATTCTTTTATTTCTTTCTATTGATTTATACAGCAAAGACCTCTACAGTAATATTACTCTTACTGAGCATACAGTATACCCTTAGGGTATACCTCAGCAAAGCAAATTATACAAAGACTAAAAAGCAACTAAAATTTATTATGTAATATTATTATAATATACATTATTGATTTTACCATTCATTAAATATATGCATCAGAAGGTATGAGCTTTAAAATACATATATAAGCCAGGCATGATGGTGCACACCTGTAATCCCAGCACTCGGGAGGCTGACGCAACAGGATTGTTGCAAGTTCAAGACCAGCCTGGGCTACAAAGTGAGCTCAAGGCCAGCCTGAACTGCATGGTGAGACCCTGTCTCAAAAAGACAAAAATAAATTATTTAATTAATTAATTTAAAATATATATATACACATATAGATGTATATATATACACACACACAGTACTCCAGTAACTGTTTTAAACCTAACAAACTTTGTCTTTCAAAACCAAACACCTCAGAGAGTCAAAAGTTTTAATATAAGCTACAATAGTAATTATTCAAAGGATGTTTTTTAGTTATATCCTGATTTTCTACTCATTTTTATTCAATAAACAATACTCATTAACAAGTTTCAGCTCGAAAGATTAGATTGACGGCTGCAGGGAAATTTAGGCTACATCTCAACAGCCCTAAATAGGAGGGTGTAGCCAGTTCAAAAATATAGCAATCCCCTATCACACCATAAAGCACTGCTATGTTAATAAACCTAGATATATTCTTATTTACCTCCTTACAAAACTATGTATATAAATTCTCATTTGCACTGCAAACAAAAATATACATAGTTCTAAGGAGAATGTAATTCCAAGGAAAAGAGTTTTCAATAATCTGGGGGCTGGGGATTTAGCTCAGTGGCAAAGCGCCTGCCTGGCAAGTGCAAGGTCGTGAGTTCGGTTCCCGGTACCAGAGAAAAAAACCAAAAAAACCAAAAAACCAAAAAAAATCAATAATCTACTAAAATGTTCAGGGGGAAAAAAAACAACTGAGATAAAGAAAAGCCCATGTATCAAAAAAAAAAAAAAAAAAAGCAAAGAGGTCAATGATTAAATCTAAGAATACTCAGGATAAACAATGAACAACTTCAATAATTTATATCAGATGGATTATTACAGCTCCTTTCTCTAAGTAGAACAGCAAAACACATGTCATAGCAATCCCCACATTTTGACATCCTATACTCTACCACACTACCCATCCAACTAAAGACCATGTGTAAGAAAAACATTTGGGGGGTTTTCAGTTATTAAATGTGAGCTCTTTGCTATATACACATACAACATTTACATCCCATGCTATCCTCCTGCTTAATATGAAACTGTTCTGAACAGGAATTTCTCTACATTTCCACACTGTCTCACCCTCTGTTTTCAGCAAGTGAGCTCTTCCCTGGGGCCCACCACCATCCAGTGGTAAACGCTTGCAACTGCGAGCTAACTCTCCTCTCTCCCTCTCTCCGCATCCCTCTACCTTTTACCAATACGTACTGGAAAAGAGAGAAAGACAGAGTTTCTCTTACTTGGCACACACTGTCCGCTTCATTAAGTTTCTTGCAATATCTTCAGAGGGAAGGCTAAGAATCCAAAATGGAGACTGAAAGAAATAGCAAAACTCATTTACCTCCAAGTGTGCAATACGCCAGGTGTGCTCTCACTCAAAGACCAGCAGGGCAAGTTCCTCACTGCTCCCTCCATAGAATACCTGACCTAATCGTAACCAAAATAAAAACCACTCTCATAGGAAAAATTAAATTCTTCTCATAGGTTACTTTTTAACATAACAGTGAAATGTAAGAACACTTCCATATAGGACCTCATAAATGAAAGTATCAGTAAATTAAATTTAAGTCTATGTAAGGTTAATTTGCTATATGCCTTTATGTAGCTTGTCTGAGAGAATTAATGTATATTACACCACAGAATATGATCTTGAAATTTTTACCCCAGCCAAGCATGTCTTATAATACAGCTGTTTTATGTTTAACTTCTAAGTAATGCATTTCTTAAGTTACCAAATGGTCTTTCACCTTCTAGGTAGCTGTGGCCACCCAAGGGGTGGGTGAGGGGCACTATGGAATAACAGTGATGGAAGTCATGAAGTACTTTCCCAACAGAAGCCTGAAATTCTGCCAAGTTCCAATTCAAAATACACCTCACCAAAGGAAGACAGCTCTTTTTGCAAGGAAAGAACAGATACAAATTATGGTATGACTGTCCAGTTAAAAACTAAAATTGGAGCTGGGGTTGTAGCTCAGAGGTACTGCACTTGCCTCACAGGTGTAATGCCCTGGATTCAATTACCACTACTGCAAAAAAAATAAATGAATGAAAGAAAACTGGAAGTAAATTTCAGTTACTTTCCAAAGTCACAGTTTTTTCAAAGTACCCTTTTCATTTAATTGCCTCTAGAAATAGAAGCAAGTAATCACACAAACAGAAATGTAAGCATTTCAGTTCCCTTCAAATCCAATGTTTTATTTATTTATAGGCATTCTATAGATGGTCAAGTAAAAATTCATCTTACCTTTTCATAACTTTCCTGATTGCTAGTGAACTGACCTCCAAAAAGTGAAAGCAAAGACTTTATTTCCTGTTTTGAAAATATTATAGAGAGAATATATTTTAAACAGAGAACTCAAAGTTTTACTACGAGAAAAAAGTTCAATATGATTAAAAGATAAAATAGGGGCTGGGGATTTAGCTCAGCGGCACAGCGCCTGCTGGCAAGCGCAAGGTCGTGAGTTTGATTCCCGGTACCAGAAAAAAAACAAAAACAAAAAAAAGATAAAATAGTGTGGGTGAGATCCACAGGAGGTGTTTAAATTTCAAAATCAGACAACAACTCAGGGTTCTGAATGACTTCTATAGTCACAACCACAGTTTGGTAATTCTTGACAAATTTTAGACAACAGGAGACCTGCCAGAAGACATGATCAAAAAATTGATGTCCTGATTTTGAAAAGGAAATAACCAATTATAGGCACTACAGACTAGTAAACTGAAAAACTGATCAATAAAAATAAATAACTAGAAAACTTGACATGAAAATATTTAAAAAGAAATTAACTATCATGTACAGGTACAAATTCTCTTTGATGAATGTAAACGTTATGTATATTTAAAATGTACCATTAAAATCTAATTTTAAAAACTTGAGATCATTGTATACTCATTAAGCACAAGAATATTGTTAAACTTTCTTAATAATTATACCACTAAGAACACAATAGAGTTAAACATATCATGCATGCAAAGTTGAAATCAGATATGTATATTCTTTGAAGTAATCTCTTTGCACTGATAAATACAAAACGATTATACAAATTTTATGATTTGTACCCCTAACAAATTGTCTCCTTACATATAAAATAAGCAGAATAGCCACATCACCAAATTTCCCACTCCAAGATCAAAAGGTATGAGAGACTTAAGCAACTAAAGCCATTTCTATTTTTCCTGTCTGTGCACCAAATCACGTCTTATAAGAGTCTGGATGGCCCTTCTACTATGGATAGAGCCCAATTAGCATAGACTACCAGGGAATCAGTGAAGCCCAAATGTTATTTTGTGACATAAGTAAACACAAATTTGAACAGGAGACCTTATGAGAATAACGAATCAAACCAAAAACAATCTGATTTTCACTTACAGATCTCCTGTACATTAGCTCTGTGAGTCTATACATGAAACTTAACTCCAGTCACAGGCAATTCCCTTATACACAAAACAAGCATAGCTCCTTGCTGAGGAGCACAGAAACCTAGGCTGTTTTTCAGGAAATCAAAAGGATGATGACCCCTACACAGTTCTTGAAGTCCACTGTTTGAAGAAGTCAAGCAAGGCTGACAATTATTATACTTAAAAAGGAAAAATGAAGCTACAGATTAGGTTAGTTAGTCTTAAGTGATTCTTTCCGTTCCTATATTAAAGCATGTTATGAAATCAGCTTTGCATTTAGAACATGTGAAGTAAAAACATCATCTGACGTTAAAACATCAAAATTTGCTGCTTCTGGAATACACCACAAAAAATCAGCAACAGACTAAAACATGCATGTCTTAAGGATGGGGTGGGGGGCAAGAAGGCCACCCCGGAGAGCAAGATGGCCACTACCAAGCGCCTGCTGTAGGTGGGAGGGTTGGCAGAAGAGGTGGACCACAAAGTTCTTCATGCTGCTTTTCTTCCTTTTGGAGGCAGCACAGACATGCAGAGTCCTCTGGATTACAGACAGGAAAGCACCGGGGATTTGCTTTCATTGCATCTGAGTTGGCAGAGGATGCAGCAGCAGCAGCAGCAGCAGCAGCACCAGACGTGAACGAAGCTGACTGATGTGGCCAAACCAATGACAATTCAAGAAGGCGCTTCCACACCAGTTTGGTCAGAGGACGACTGGTTGAAGAAGTTTTCTGGGAAGACACTTGAAGCGAACAGAGGGGAAGAAGCAGCAGGAGCTCCCAGGGCGGAAACCTGGGAGGGCGACCCTCTGCACACAGGCGGGCCGGCCCTCGGTGTGGCGCAGGCTCCAGGGTCAGCAGAGCCAGCAGCAGCACCCGCATCCCATGCTCCCGCGTGGCCGTGGGCCAGCACCTGTGCCAAGGGCCTTGGTTTAGGGAAGCAACTTGCACCTCATCGCCCCAGCTCATGCGCCAGAGTGGGGACTCAGAACAGGGCAGCGGGGCAAGTCCATCCACGGGAAGGAGCTCCTCCTCGGGACCACTGGGGAGCAGCTCCTCCCAGCACGGCCTGGACTTGCTTCGGGCTCCCATGAGGCGCTCTGTGGGCCTGGGAACCAGCGCAGTGCCGCCCTCCACACAGCAGCCCAGTGTGTCCACTGGCTTTCCCAGGGAGTGCTGCAAGGGCCTGCCCTGCCCAGCTGAGGCTGCTGGACGCTTTCTTTGCTAATATAAACCCTGATTCTTTAAGAGAATAGAAGGGAGGGATTTAGCTCAGTGGTAAAGTGCCTGCCTGGCAAGCGCAAGGTCGTGAGTTCGGTTCCCGGTACTGGAGAAAAACCAAAAAAAAAAAAAAAGAGAGAATAGAAGGGGAGGAGGGGAGGGAAAAAGAACTGGGGTGCGAGAAGTGAAGAATTATTTATGGTATCCCTTAGCTCCATTACCCAAAACTTAAGCAACCATGTAAAATTATGAGTAACTGTGATGAGCCAAGTTTCAGATTTATAATCAAAACATGTTTAAACCACTCTGTCAAACTACCTGAAAAAGAAAAACACAACTTTTCATTCATGGTAAATTCACTTTGCAATGGAGAATCTTTCTGTGTTAGGCACAGAAAGGAACTGGATATTGAACACTGGTTTTAAAAATGTGGCATGATGGAGCATGATTCATTAATTCATACAAACTATTATTTTTGTTACTCGCTTTCTCAGAACTATTTGCTTTTTTTCTTTTTTTTGAGACAGGGTCTTGCTATGTAGTTCAAGTTGGCCTTGAACTCATTATGTAGTGCAGGCTGGCCTCGAACTTACAGTGATCCTTCTGCCTCAGCCTCCCCAGTGCTGGGATTACAGGCATGTACCACTTCACCTGGCCAGAACTATTTGCTTTAGAACCAGCAATGAATCCAGGTATCTGAACTGTACCTTCAGTATAGTAAGACAACCGACAACCAAAGTCAGCCTGATTAACTCTATCAGAAGTAAAACTGAACCACACTTACATCCTAACCTCTCATTTTAATTCATTAAGGTAGCTACTTGCCTTACAGTTCTCTTGCTGGGAGATGAGCCCAAAAGTGTAGAATGTCACTTGTCTTCTGGGAAGAGATTCTATTTCACTCAACTCAACATTTACAGAGCAACTAACATGTGCAAGGCACTGAGCTATGGAAAGCTAAATACATTTTATTCTTCAGAGCTAAAGGTCTAGTGAATTAACAAAACGTTGAACCCTACAACCGAAATGTGAAGTGCTCTTACAGAAGCAAGAAAGTGTTAGAGTACAAGGGAGAAAGTGATAACTTCGTTTTAGAAGGGAAGAGTCATAGAAACTGACTTAATCCTGGAAAACAGGGAGCATCTAAATCAACAGCAGTGGACATCCACTTCTCGGATGGCAAACTTGGAGATTCAAATAAAGCCTCCTGCTGGGAAGAAGAAAGCTAGACATCTGCTCGAAGCCAACATGACTGAGGAAAGGACAAGATTCCAAGTGGAGCCACTGTTTCCCTAAGGTGCTTAACCACTTTCAAAAGCAGTTGTGAGACGGAACAGCTCACTGACATCCTCCTGGAGCCAGAGGATGAGAAGAGTACAGATGCTCCTTGTTCAATGATGAAGTTCCCTTACTGCAGCCAGGCTGGTAAATGACTCGGTTGCTAAAAGAGGAGTTGTAAGTACTATGTGCATTACAAGATTCAGAACAAAGAAATGCTCGCAGGAAACTCCAACTTGATGACTTTGTTTTTATTTGCATAACTCTTACATGCAGTATTGTAATGTGTAACAGAACATAAAACTACAGTACTGTACAGTATAGTACAATCAGCAAAAATTACAGTACTGTATAAATAAGGTGTACTGTACAAAAAAGACAATGAGACTCTAGAAACAAGATGCACAGAAGCATACCAAACAAAAAAATGGGTGGTAAGTCCGAGCAGTGGGTTATAGTCTGAACAGTGTACCTGGTTATAAGTCCAAACAGTTGTTAACTGGTAATATCTGTATAAGACCAGAAGAAAGAAACCTGACAACGCACCCAACTGTGACTGGGATCCCACACCCCGAGTGATGGTGAATCTTTCAGACTGTTTCAATGATAATGAACTACCAGCTGCTGCACTTGTGCCACTTGTGCCATATGCAGAAAACTCCCAGGTGTTCAGCACCAGTCCAGGCAGCTCTACTCCTCTCCGAGTCTCAAATACCCGGCACCTCCTGGGCATCTCTTGTTACACAAGCACCTCAAATTCAGCATAATCAAAATGAAATCTTACTGTATTCTCTACTTGAAATGAAGATACTACTATTATACCCATCCAAGGAGTCACGATGACTGGTTCCTCTTCCCTCTAACACAAGTCCTGATGATCTTATCACCTAAGCACTTTCCCAGTCTATCCCATCCTCTTACTGCTTGTCCCAGGGCAGCCCTTCTTAACCAACTCGCAAGACTACACCAATAGACTCCTAACTAGCCTCTGGTTCCAGTCATTTTTCTCTCCAGTCCCTCCCCGATCTGCTGTCAAAGTGATGGGGAGACACATTTTGCCACTTCTTTGCTTAAAAGTCTTCCATAAATTCCAAGCCCTGGATATTCAGAGCAGACTATTTTCTGGGCCCTACCTACTTCTCCTAATTTCTCCTTACCACTCTGCCACATACCTGGTGACCCAGTAATAACGAACAGCTTGTAATTCTAACGTTGGACCAGCAAACAACTAACAATCCTGTACCTTAAGGGTCACCCTCTCGCAGGCAAACATCCCCACCCCGCAGAGTCCCCTGCTGTCTCCTCGTGTGCCTCTCCATCACTGCACTTCCAGGATTTGCTCTGTAACTCTGTGCTTAATGGTCTGCTCTGCCTTCAGAATAAACGTTCAGCGCCTTGAGAGCAGGCGTTATCTTCATCACATCCACATTACAGGCACTCCACAAACCTTTCTTGAATAGATCAACTCAGTTCCGACTTCTCCGTAATCTAACCTCACCATCGACCCCTTCCGCGAGCCAAACCACACCTTATGATACTTAGAGCACTTCAGGACCACTTCTCTTGGAGGTCCCCATCTTCTGCTAGACCAAGAGCTCCTGGAATCACCTAATCTGGGTGCCTGGGCACTTGCAGAAGAATGAATGAACGCGCTCAGCAAGGCCGGAAGAGTTCGTCGGGAACTTCTCTCTCATACCCCTCCGCCAAGTTCAGCCCTTAGCCCAACAGCCCAAAGATGGGGTGGCAAGAATCTCCCCGTGCAGCACAGATCCCCAATTGTTGCATGCTCTGCAATGCAGATCGCTTTACCCGCAACCATCCCCACCCTCAGTTCTCTACCGGGGACAGTGTGAAGCTTGCTGCGGGCTCACCGGCAGGCGGAATTCCAAGTGCTCCTGCGCCATGAGCAGCAGATACCTGTTCAGGTTGCACGATAGCGCCATTGCAGCTGCCCTCTGCGCGCCTGCGCTGCCGCGTGGACCCGCCCCTTTCTGCGTGCAAAGAGCCGCTTCCGCGAGGGCTGAACCTGGAGGGCCGGAAACGGAAGCTCGGCCAGGCTCGCGCTGTCCCGGCATTCCCCGCCCCTGGAGTAGGAACTGGGAGCTGGTGCTGGAGGCTAGCTTTCCTGTAAGGTCTCAGGTGTCAGGAGTTGGTGTAGGAGCTAGTGGTTTTCAGGAGCAAGTTGCCGTGAGATAGGGCAGTTCCCAGGGATCCTCCCACCTGGGATGTACTTCCAGTTTCTCTGCATCTCTTCAGATCCTTCTTCAAAACTAGACTGGATAAATTTGAGACGCTTGTAGGAAACTAGAGGCACCTTGAGACCATAAGGTTACGTGAAATAAATCTGACACACAAGCTTAAATATCGCATGGTTTCCTTGTAAGAGAAACCCAAATATAAATAGCTTAAAAAGCAAAGTAAAATATAAGTAATAGGAAACGGGCATAGAACTTTTGCAAATGAGAAGAGCCTCAAAACATGGAGGGGAGCCGGGAGTGGTGGCACACGCCTGTAATTCCAGCACTTGGGAGCTTGAGGTAGGAGGATCGCTGCGAGCTTGAGGCCAGCCTGGGCTACAAAGTGAGCTCAAGGGCAGCCTGAACTGCATAGGGAGACCCTGTTTCAAAAAGACAAAAAAAAAAAAAAAAATACATGGAGGGAAGAGTAGGGAAGAGGACGGTTAAAGAACTACGTTGTTCATGAGAAACCACTTTGAAGATACCAATATGTAATACAATAAGCATTGTTAATTTCCTGCCACTTTGTTTGTAACTCCGTATTGTCTGTACTGTTCTTTTGCTATTTTGTAAAATGTTGTCTGTTAATGTTTTCCTCCTTTTATTTTTAAAATAAAAAAAACTACGTTATGTGATGTACATGTACCAGCTCCCCACGATGAATGTAATTATGTACTGAAACCTGTAGTAATGAAAGTAAAAATAAAACTTAGTTGAAATTTGACCTTTGCAGTGTAGACTTCTCTAACCATCCTAGGATTCTAGTACTGACTCATCTGCAATATTTTTTAACACTTCGTGTTCTTTTTGCATTTTTTAACAACTTTTCAAGGGCATGTGCCTTATAAGCCAAATAGAACAAGTTCTTAAGGACCTAAGGCACCTCTTGTGGTTTACACTTGCAGTAGTTAACAGAAACCAAAACAATATCTTTCTCAAAGTAAATAGTAATTATTAGGTTGTATTATTCTTTAGCCTCTCACAACCAATCAATAGCCAACACTAGGTTAAATTCATTAAAAGTTGCTCTAACTATGCACATAAGCATAGATTTCTAATACTAATATAAAAGCATAGATTTCTAATACTAAATATAAAATATGTATTTAAGTATATATTTATATGTACCTTGCTTTTGAGAATACTGAGATAGCCCTATTTAGACCTATTTATTGTACATTCTACCATGATACTGCACAAAGTACAAAAGAGGAAGGATCTTACATATCAGCACTATGTTCCAGGAACATTGTTGATGCTTATAATAATCCAAAACATAGGCTAACAATCACAGTCTTAGACTCAAACTTCAGTCCCATCATCCACCAGCCATACGCTTTAAAGCAAACTTCATAACCTGAGTCTCACTTTTCTCACGGTTTCCTTCAAAAGACTGTTAAAGGATTATGCAGAATAATGTTATAAACTGTCTAACACCATCTTATGTAGGGCCAATAAAAAGCATTTAAGGAGGACATTTTTCAAAACCTATGAGAATTCCTTTTAGCAAGAAGTCTGCATTATTAGGAACATATCTTCACAAGCCAACTTGAGTCTCTGAGGAGCATAGATACTTCTTGACCCCAACGCTTCAGAAAAAGCCTCTGTATGAGACAAGGAATGGAAGTTGTTTTAAGAGAGACCAAGGTGAGTCAGAGAGCCAAATTAAATGTTAGGAGAAGGGTGTTCAGTGTCTGATGTGCCCCAACCCAAGAATTTGTCAAATCTTAAATAAAATTACTAAACACTTGACATTTTGATAGAACAACTGCTTAGGGAGAGGCGCAGAGCTGCTTATTTTCATGACCGGATTAATAAGATACTTTGCAGAGAAAGCAAGTTAGATTACAGAGCATACAGAACCCAAATGGAATTAGGTATTACTGATTTTTCACCTGGGATCCTTTGTGCTAAAATGTAGGATTAAATCTCTACTAAATCTCTGCTCCAGAAATGAGCAGGAGAGCAACTACATCGTGAATCTCAAAGTTGGATACAGGGTCTGAGCTAATAGAGATTAACCATGCATAAGCCATGAAGTTAGTGTGGAACTACTCTAAGATTAAACTTCCTTTAAAGGACCTGTTTTTCAGCTCACTAGAGTGGTTAAGGAGCAACATGAGCATCTTGGTTACTTTTCTCTCATCGCTGAGACAAAATACCCAACACCCAAAGAGGGACTGGTTTCTTTAGTTCACAGTGTGTGGTGGTTTCAGTTCATAATCAGCCAGCTCCAAGGCAAGGAAGCACATGGCAGAGGAGCAACAGTTCATGGAGGCGGAAGACAGCAAAAGCAACAAGAGCAAAAGGGAAGAGAGAAAGAGCAAGCTTTTTCTCTCCCTTATATTGTATGCAGGCTACCTGCTCCAGGGTGGGTGTAGCACTCACACCCATAATCCCAGCATTGGACCATGAATCAATCACAAACTCTAGCCAGGCGTGGTAGTGCATGCCTGTAATCCCAGCCCTCAGGAGGCTGAGGCAGGATGATTGTTGCAAGTTTGAGACCAGCCTGGGCTACAAAGTGAGCTCAAGGCCAGCCTGAACTGCATAGCGAGACCCTGTCTCAAAACAAACAAACAAACAAAAAATCACAAACTCTAGAAGCCTGACTGCATGAAGTTTTGGGGGACATCTAGACACAAACCATAAAAATCAGAGTAAGGACTTTGGAAGGGATATTCAATCTAGCACTGAGAGCATTACCATTACAATTTTACTGTAAAGAGCAAGGAGGTTCAGTCTGTCTTCTGGGAACTGATCCAAAGCTCCATTCATGTCCCATCTACCAAGGTATGATGGTTAATCTTGATTATCATCTTGATTAGCTCAAGAGATGCGTTGGGGATTAATAAAACACACTTATGGGTTTATCTGGGTAGGTCATGACTAAGAGACTATATCTGCTGGTGCTAGCCCCTTCCCTTCTTTTTGGCTCTTTCCCTGTCTCTATGCTTCCTGGCTGGCATGATGTAAGCAATTCTCTTTGCCAGACCTTTTTGCCCTGATGTCTGTGCCTTGGAGCCAATGTCCATAGACTGAACCCTCTGAAACTGTGATCCAGAAAAGCTTCTCCTTCTTTAAGTTGCAGGTGTCAGATATTTTGTCTCAGCAACAGAAAATGAACTAATACCCAAGACAGCCCTCTTAAAAGACTTTTGTTTTGCTTTGTTTTGTTTTGGGGACTGCTATTTTGTAACCATGGAGTCTCTGGTATAAGCTGTCTATTAAAGAACCACAGGCCATTCCTTAGAAGTTGCAACTAGGAGCTGGAGAGGAGAGCTGTGTGTGGATTATAACATGCCACTTCAGGATAAAAACCAAGAGGACAAAGCCAGAGAAATAAATAGAAAGTTAAAAGATTCCAGTAGGAGAGGTCCTATGTCATTCAAAGCCGCCCACACATCTGCCTCAGGCTGACCATCTAACACTTGAAAAAGGGTTACCTGTAACAGAACTGATGAGGAGAAAAGTTCTCTTCACATGTACCAAGACTAAAGATTTTTGTAATTCGTAAAAAACAAGGGCTGGTGAACAATTTGGAGAATAAAGGTTTATTTGAACAAGTTATATAAGAATTATAGGAACTTCACTACATTTTTGAAGGAGTTCAAATTTTATATGTGGGAGAGGTCTCTACTTAGCCCTACAGAATATAGTTCAAAGGGAGCAGTAAGAAATAACCCTGGTTGCTGGGTGCGAGACTGAACAGGCTGGAAATCTGAAGCACCAATTCAGATGTAAGCAGTCGGAGTTAAGTATAGCTCAACTCCGCAAGGTCAAATTTCCAATAAGCAAAATCTCCAAGGGTAGAGAAAGGTAGATCCTGTTCTGTGAGCTAAAGATTCCCCAGAACAAATATGAGACCAAAATTACAACTATGCCCTTTAATTTGCTACCTGGGAAGCAGGTCCTTGTGAAGGAAAAGAGCCTGGAGCTTCAGCCTTCTCTCTTGGACATCCTAAACTCTAAGCCTGTCATGATTCAAATACAATAATCTAGGACTCTCTATTTACAAGCAAACATAAAAAGCTGTCTCACTGAGCTAAGCTAGAAGAGAACGCTCCCCATATCTCAGCAGGTGGCTGAAATCAAAAGTCTCCCAAAAGGACCCTACTATCGGCCTGCTAAAATTTCCTCTAAAAGCCAATCTTTAGTTTGATTCTCTTGTTTACAAAGCAAAAAGACTTCACTCTTTCTACTCACTTCCAAATTCAAGGCAAAGCAAGACTTGGATACTAGCCCCACTGCTCTAGAATTCAACCTGGCAGCTTATGTGGGCTTCACGTGGCTTTGAGTGGGCGTCCATCTATTATTTCCTTTGAGTAGAACTTGCAAGCCACGAGTAAAGTAAGATCACAACACATTTGGCTCATGTTAGCCGAATCTTTAGTCCTCTCATTCGTCTTCCCTCCTTCCCTTTCTCCTTCCTAAAATACAAGAAGCATCATTTCTGAACTGAGTCTTCTATCAAGTGATTTGCAAACACTACATTCCCCTCACATGTGGAATGCAGCTCACCTTCCTCATGCTTAAGCTCCATTTCTATTTGTCTGCTTCTCTTGGGCCCACTTGCTTCCCATAAGTAGGAAAACTATTACATAGTGTTGGGACTCAGAAAATAATTCCCCCAAAATACAGGGCCAGGAAGCACCTCTAGGAGAAGTTTCTCTGTGATATACTATCCACTTGTCTCCTGCTCCACTTCCTCCCAAGACCAGCTGGAGAAACTAGAATTTTTCTTCCCCAGGTGAAGTCATGAAAACTAGAGCCTCTCTAACCAAAACAAACCATGAAGCCAAAGAATGTTACTCTGAATCTCTCCGTGCCTTTCTCAGAGGTGGTCTATGCTGTCCGACAGAGGATCATTAGGCCTTCATTTAAGGAGTCCTGCCCCTCACATGTGGAGAGGGGATGCTACACAGAGGCCAAGAAGATCTAAGTAAGCCGGCCTCGCGGGGTTTCCCCACTCAGTCTGCAGCTGTGAAGGCATGCCCTCTTGTCCAATTCTATTTATGCATAGCAGTCGAAGCTTCACAGAAATGGACACTGTCCTGGGTCTTGGGTCTTCATTCTGAAGGCTTTTGTGTCCCCTGAAAGGTGATGAAACACATTTGAATGCCTGTATCTCTTATTAATCTGCCAGCTGTTGGTTCACTTTAGTGACTCCAATGAAGTCTTTTGTCTTCCCCTATAATAGCATGGATCACCTCATGCACCATAGGATGGGTTTTTCTAAGACACTGCTGTAACAGGTCGCAAAGCAAAGTTGTATTCAATCCTGTAGGCCACGGGTTCTCAAAATTGTCAGTACATTGTCATTACCTAGAGAACTTTTGTTTGTTTGTTTGTTTTTAACACTGAGGCATGGAATCTAATTTGAGATTCAAATTAAATTTGCTTTGAGGGTAGCCTGGACATACAGTGCCCCAGGTGTTGATTTCAATGTACCCAAATTTAAGAAGCATTTGTACCAGGAGTGCTTAAAGTGTGATCCTAGGACAGGCAGCATCCACAGCACCTGGAAAACAATTAGAAATACAAAACCCTGCCCCACTCCAAAGCCCACTAAATCAGAAATTTGCAGTATGGGTCTAGAAGTTTTAAATAAGCCCACAAAGCGGTCCTGAAGCATACTAAAGCTTGAGAATAACCACCTGGAAAGGAGAGGGATGTGGGAATGCAGGGAGAGATGGATGGTCCCAGGAAGCCCAGGCACCAGATGCCTGGGATATTTTGCTGTCTTAACCCACTTCCAGGGAATTTATGTATTTTTCAAAACACCACATACACTTTTCTCATAGGAAGATGTGTCAGGCAACAAACTGCTTTTTCCACCTGGACTGAGAATTAACCTCAAAAGAATTCCCTTAGCTGAGATAAGGGAAGAGCAGTGGTGGCAAATCACTAATAGCACCCATGTTATTTTCTTTGAAGACAAAAGGTGTCAGTGTAGAGTTGTTGATATTTTCCTTAACTAAAACCTCATTTTGCAACAGATCAGTGAGTTTCGGGCTGCAGCTTGGCACTTGGTCTCTAACAGGTTCGCCATCACAAGTCTAGCGTAAGGATTCCCAATAGGTGATTTCTTGTGTTCCGGGCAAGATGGCTGAAACAAAGGCTTCAGAGAACGCTGGCACAAGTGTAATGAGACGTCTGTTTCAAAGGCAAGGAGAGAGGTAATGGGTTTTTGGCTTTTAAAAGTCAATAAGATGGCAGCACCTCTGTGATACTTTCACACAGCTGTGTAGGTCTGGTTATTAAATGCTTTACATGACTGGTGTGGACGGATTCTTTGGAAACCAGAAGAGGTTTCAGTTTTTTGGCCATAGATACTGCTGAAATCTACACCACACTCATTTTTTTGATTAGAAGTTGCCCAAAGCTAGAATCTTCTGTCAGACATTCATTTGTTACGGTAACCTTTTAAGGTACTCAGAGGTTAAAGTTTATGGACCGGTAATATTAATTAGCACAAAGCTAAGGCAAAAAAGACAAAACAAAAACAAAAACCAACTCCCAAAAAAATCTAAAAATCTTAACATACCCCCATTATATCCTGGCTATTGTGGGAAACTAAAATACCACGGACTGCAGCTGAAGAAACAAATTACTACAGTTAAATACGGGAGATTTCAGAGAGACATGCCCAGTTTAGCTGTAATAGTAAAAATGGCCCATACTTTGGTTAAAAATGCAGAAAGTAAAGTTAAAAAGTCTGATGAATTAATCCTAAAGGTAAACTGTGATATCTTCACAAGCAAGAAAGCTGCTTCATCAATTTGATTTTTGGTTTTCCTTTTTGCAGTGCTGAGGATGAAAGCCAGTGGCTTGCATACACAAGGCCAGCGCTTTATCACTGAGCTATGCCCTCCGACCCAATTTAGTAATTTAGAAAGAACTGTGAATGGAGGCAAGGTTCATAACAAGAGTGGATGGGTGTCTCAAAAAAGCAGAGACATGGGCACCAAGAGCCATGAACTCATTTTTGATTCTGGTCCCTTCATGGTAACACCTTTATACTAAAATATTTTGTGTACCTGAAATGAGTGTAGAGCCCCTGGGTCCAACAGAACACTCAGGCCTAAATGGTGTGTTTACTGGTGTAACTGTGCGGGCAGAGACTGAAAGGTAGACAAGGATAAAAGTGGGGAGAAAACGAAGCTACCACTGTAATCTAAACAAGAAACCAGGAAAACTTGGCCAAGATACACAGAAGTACAAGTGAGAAGTGGTCAGATTCTGGATATATCTGGAAGGTACTGCCAACCAACTGCTAACAGGCTGGATCTTAAGTCTGACAGACAAGACTCAAAGATGACTCCAAGATTTTGGGGCTGAGCACGTGAACAATTGGGGTTGCTATTAACCAAATTAGGGAAAAGACAGAAGCGCTGGAATGTGGCTCAGTGGTAGGATACTTGCCCAGCATGCACGAGGCCCTAGGGTTAAGTTAGGTCCTAGGTTCAAACTCCAGTACCACACCAAAAAGGGAGGACAGGATAGGAATAGGTTTGGGGAGACTTTAATACTATATTTACTTGAATGGTGTTATGATTATATACAGTGTCCCCCAAAAACTCATTAATTGAGAGTTTGAGCTTCAAAAGCAGCAGTGTTTAAAGGCTGGTGCTAGACAAGTGACTGCACAAGGGCACTGACCTCAGTAATGCATTTATCCACTGATGAGTTTATTAGCTGCATGGGTGCCTCTAAAGGGTCTATCATACTCCCAATCCCTTCTTCTCTGGGTCTTTCCCCGTTTCCTGGCTGGCATGAGATGAACAGCCATCTTCTGCCACTTTCCGCCATGCTGTTCCTGCTTTGCCATGGGCCCAAAGGCAGTAGAGTTAGCTAACCATGGACTGAACCCTCTGAAACTGTGAGCCCCAAAAAAAGTCTTTCCTCCTGTATTCTTCTCAGATATTTGGTCAGTGAAAAAAAAAAAAAAAAAAATAACAAAAATAGCACTTGTCTTAGGGCATGGTTTAATTAATGCATGACTCTCAGTTGTGGGTCCATCTCTACCTGTAATACTTTAAATAACTAATCATACAGTGAGTGTCTGATTCTCCCTAATTAGTGGAGTTAAACATTTTCATTGTTAATTTAAGTAGAATTAGAGAGCGGTACATTGCTACCATAAACAGATGGATTTAGGTATCAGCTTCATTTTAATGACTGGTGCCCCATACACGTTGAAATATTAGTAAAAGTTGTGTCAACTTCAGTAGCTAATGTTTTGACAGCAAAATATATTAATTTTCTTTTTTTTTGTACCGGGAATTGAACTCAGGACCTTGTACTTGCCAGGCAGGCACTTGTGCCACTGAGCTATATCTCCAGCCTTAATAACAAAATCCAGAAATACGATTGTTACCATAACAAAGACTGTTCTTGATCATGGTTTCATCATATGAAAAAAGACTGCTCTTGACCTTGCAGTCTTTGTATGGAAGAAGGTGTCTACACTTCTGACAGTGCACTGCGATCTGCTAATTTATCAAACATCTTTCATTTGAACCTGTGTTTTTAATATTACTAAAGGAGTTCTGAGAGGCAAAATGTGACACAGTAGTTTTCCATTTTATTTAGATTTCTTCTAGGTAAGTAAACAGTTTGAAATAATTTATTTTAATTACACAATTAGATCTAAATTAAAATAATTTATTTTAAATTCCACAATTATACAAGCAGTATCATAACATACATAAATAATGATATCAACACTAAACATTTTTTAAGACAGGTTATGAATTAGCTTTGCTTTAAACAATGTTATGGATAGGAGTTACCAAACAGACTACCAAACAGGCTATGTGAATTTTAATTGTAATCTGATTACTCATCTTTGCAAGTAAAGAGAACTTCTACTAAAAATGTGTTCCAAGGGTTTTCCAACAAAGAAAGATCTGCTCAACTTATATCCAATTGGCTAATCACATTTGTACAGGTTTTTAAGGCATTTCCCAATTCCTTAAATACTTCATGCTATTATCACGATATTGTCACTTACAGCATTCCAAGTTCACACAGTAAAGCATTCAAAGAGTGTACACACTGAAAATCCTCTTGGAGGCTAGCCACATTTTCACTGATTTTTAGACATTTGTAACTGTGGGTCTGTGTAAGTGCTCAGTGAGCTGCTTCACAAAGCAGGGCTAAAAACCTGCAAATCTCAGACAGCCCATCACCTTCCTTGTAAATCCCTCTCTCAGCTCAGGTAAATAGGCTGAAATCTGGATCTTCACATCACTTGTAAAGTTAGTAACACAGAAATCAGAACTCCAGGCACTACATGTGGGTTTCACAGTCTGCACTGCCACTCCGCCTCCCTAACACCACGTCCCGAACACTCGCCCTGGCGGTGGCCACTCTCAGGAGCGCTCCCTCCCTCCGCAGCCCTTCTCTGAACAGACTGCGGCACTGCACCCCGGGAACCTGCTCTGCGTCTGCCTGTTCCGTGTCAGGCATTAACGACCAACTGTCCTCGCTCATGTCCTTACTGCCTGATGTTGGCAGTGTCTGCTACAAGTCAAAAGTTCAATAAATGTTTGCTGAATAAATTAATCAACCAGCTAAATTCCACGTGATGTAAACATAAGTATTTCCTTATTTACCGTTATATTTAATACCACAAAATGAGGAATGCAAGCTGGTAATCTCAGCCCATTTCCAAGACGATATTCATGCTCCTACTTGTGTACGTGGCACTACACACGGGCACCGCACAGGACCAGCGTCAGCACCTATGCCGCCCTCCTACTCTGACTGCAGATCCGCACCCGAAGACCACTCCCAATGAAACCTGCTTCACCAGACGCTGTTCCAATGCTAGCAATATTATGTCATGAAAATAAATTTCCTCACTAAGCCTATCTATTTCTACTTTCAAATCAGGTCTTCTTCAAGATATGATCAAGGTCTAAGTACTTTTTATTCTAACTTCCTTTTGTTTTAAAAAACATGCCATAAAGCAGCAGTTTCCGTCAGTTTTAACACAACGGAACCACTCTTCTGTTTCTTCCTCTTCTACCTCCTTACAGACTTGTAGACAGCAGAACTGCCTGATGCAGTAAGTTCCTGTTAGAAACGACACCGCAGTAGTCCTCCATTACCCAAAGTTTCACTTTGTGTGGCTGTACTTTCTATGGATTCAGTTACCTGGCAGGTCAACCAAAAATGATAAAAATTCCAGAAATAAATAATCCAACTCTTTTAAACATGTCACGCTGAGCAGCACTATGAAATCTCACGCACCTGGAACATGAGTCATGCATGCTGCAAACACCACCCCCCGGGGTAAGCACCTCAGCTATCAGACTCGCTGTCACAGAGGCATGTTTTCAGCTAACCTTCTTTTTTGGAACCGGGAACCAAGCTCACATCTTGCGCTTGCCAGGCACGTGCTTATGCCACTGAGCTACATTCCTAGCCCTCGGCTAACCTTCGTTCTACTTAGTAGTGCAAGAGGCAGGCTGGCAAGAGCATTACCGTATACTATCACAACTCCTACTTGGTGATTACTGCTGTTAATCTCTCACTCCAGTTTATAAATTCCACCCCATCACAGGCATGTATGTGTACGTAAGAACATTAACACACACAGTGTATATAGGGCTCTGGATTTCAGGCGCTCACTGAGGGTCTTGGCCCATATGCTTCATGGCTAATGGAACCACTGCATCATGTAACTTGCAGGATCGATTTAATAGAAGATGCTAGGCTTTAAGAAGTGGAAATCAATATCAAAATTCGAGTAGAAAGGGACACATATACAATGTCTTCCCATTAGCAAGATCAGAGATGACTGTATGGTACGGTATGATTTTGAAAATATATGTGTAAAACTATAAACTATCAAGAAACAACTTTTTTCCACAGTAATTAAGGTTCCAAAAAACTTGCTATACCAGTTTATTCTTCATAAATTACTGAGAAATGAAATTATTTGAACTTTTAAAAACTATAGTGCCCATCTTGATTAACAGAATTTGTATTAAATGAAATTTTACCTACAGTTTCTTACGCTTAAATCTTAAAGAGAAGCATTAAAACAACCAAGTTGCTGACAAATAGTTCTGTAAGTGTATCACAGATCCCAAGAAACAGACATTCAGGGAAGATTAAAGCGACACAGCAGCAGCTTCTTATAAAACCCCACAAACCTTAAAATTGCAAAAATTAGACTTTAAAGGGACCAAAACATTAATTTATATTGTGCCAAGATTAGGAAAACCTTCCACTGCTGATGTTTTCATGTTCTTAGTTTTTCAATCAAGTAATCAGCCTGCAATCAAAAAAAAACAAATCTTTATTTTAGATAGCAGAACCTCTATCAAATAAAACTACTGGCATCCCTCTTATAATAAGCCATGCCAGTGAAGCAGAGTACTACATATTCTGTTTGTAAAACTCTTATCCCCCAAGAAACCATAAAAATATCTTACAAAAAAATCAAGTGACTTTAATGAAACTATTCTATAGTAAAGGTATTCCACATTATCTATAAATAGGTAGACTGTAAGCTACATTACATATTGATTTAAAATTTTTCAGTAAGAAGAAAAATATAGTAGTTTTAAAAGTAAATAAATATGGAGGAAACTTAAATGTTATTAGTCAGTGAAAGAAACCAACCTAGAAGGTTATAAACTGGGCGTGATGGCACTCACCTATAATCTCAGCACTCAGGAGGCTGAGGCAGGAGGATTGCTATGAGTTTGAGGCAAGACTGGGCTACAAAGTGAGTGCAAGGCCACTCTGAAGTACATAGCAAGAGACTGTCTCAAAAGGACAAAAAAAAAGAAAAAAAAAGGGCTAAAGACTGCATGATTCCATACTGAGACACTGAGAAGATGGGCAGTTAACAAGGCACAGAGGGCAGCCATGACGGACAGAGTGCGGAGGCTCCTGGGCAGTGAGATTGCTCTGTCTGACACAGTGGCAGACGCAAGTCAGGTCCGGAAGACACAGCGCCAAGCGCAAGTGCAGAGGTCTGAGGGCAGACCTTGAACTACGGCCTCAGGTGCTAAGACCCTGCCAGTGCCGCTTCACTGATCGGAGGCCGGGACCTCGGGGCAGCGTGCACAAGTGCAGACGGGGTACACGTGTGCAGATGGGGTACACATGTGCAGACGGGGTGCATGCGTGCAGTTGGAGTACACACGGAAACTGCATTTTGTACCCAATTTTGCTAAGAACCTACACCCATTCTAGAAAATAAAACTATGTTTTAAAAAGTAAATTACAGAGCCTTTCTCAATCACCCTTTAACATGTGGAAAGCTAGATAAACGATTCTCAAATAAACTTCAACAACTTTACCTTGTTTTTAGTTAAAGTCAAATAATATATACTACTGTCAAAGCTTTAAGAACAGTTCAGATTGCCAAGACAAATCAATGACAGATCTTATAATTTTTCTAACTAACGTTTCAGGTAAGGTGACACATTCTACCACTGCGCTCCACACAGCCCCCCGAAAATTGTTTTAATTAAACTTTTTCTAGAAAACCACGATCTTAAAGAAAATTGAAAATACAAAAAGGGCAAAAATTGCTTTTTTCATCCCACTTTTTAAAGAGACCACACCTACTACCTTTCAGAATGTCCAACTTACTTATTTCAGATACAGACATGCAACAGGGATCTTAAATGTTTTGTTTAATTAAATAAAATCATCTGGACAAGTTGAAGAGAGGCACATGTCTGAAACAGGAAGTCTCCAGAAGTGTTCATTTTTTTGCCTACGGGAATCAAACTCATGCCCTCACACATGCTAGGTAAGCTATCGCTGAGCCACATCCCTAAGCCAATCTGATGCTTTTTAATTTCTTCTGTACTCCCACAGGAATAACAGCATTCACTCCCAACCAATGTCAAATAAATACTATCTGATGGTTATTCAGATACAGCAACTTGTCACACGTGGTGGTATACACCTGTAATTCCAGCACTCGGGAGGGAGGCTGACACAGAAGGATCGCTGTGAGTTCAAGGCCAGCCAGGGCTACAAAGCAAGTTCAAGGCTACCCTGAACTGCACAGTGAAACCTTGCCTCAAAAAAAAAAAAAAAAAAGAAAAAGAAAAACCACAAAAACAGATGTAGCAACTACTGGCTCCCTTATTACCATGGGTACATGTGATAAGAGCCTGGTGAATTACTGGTCAAGTGGGCCTAGCGAGTCAATAACTAAGGCAGGACCAGGGATATAGCTCAGTGGCACAGCGCCTGCCTGGCAAGCACAAGGTCCTGAGTTCAATTCCCAGTACCAAAAAAAAAAAGAAAAAAAAAAATAAGGCAACTATCACACCACAGGCCTACCAAGAGCAGCATTTTATTCCTCTTTTACCTCAACAACATGTAATTTTGTGATATTTCAGGCTGAAAGCATCAAGCTCAGGTTAGGCAGCCGATGCTAATATCAAAGCCCCTTTCTAGGGAGTGCAAACTGACCAGCACACATTACAAACAAAAACAAAATTTCTACGACACTGATGATTGTGGTGATAAAGCATTGGTAACTTTACTGCATGCTACTTGCAGCAGTGTTTACTGACTCCAGCGCTGAGAATCTGGCTCGGGGCAACGGGATCAACAGGGCTTCCCACAGGATCAACAGGGCTTCCCACAGGCGAGGTAAGCTCCAGCACTGAGCCACATCCCAGGCTCGAAAGGTTCCACACGGGAATTACCTCAACGTCCTTCCAACTCTCGAAGTTACCTGCGCGTAGGTGGTAAAGAATCTGAGCCCGACCTGGGGGTGTAGCTCAGTGGTAGGGTGCTTGTCTAGCGTGCACCAGGTCCTGGGCTCCGTCTCCAGCACCCCAAAAGAAAAAGCCCCAGTCTTAAAGACTGTACATAATGTATAGATGGCCCCTGAGTAGGCAATGGAGCCAGAATGTGCCCTCGGAATCGACTCTGAAGTCTGAGCTCCCAGCGTCATGCTTTTCTACTTCATGAGCTGCTTACAACGAGCAGTTGTAGCCACAGATTTTCTTCCTACAGACCTGGCAGCCTGAAAAACCCCAACATTAAGAGTTTTATTCCAGCTAAAACCAGAGATCAGGCCTAGGAAAGCTGTAACTGCCTCATGTTGCCAAGAAATCCAAACCTGCAACCGCAGAACTACGCCTGGCGCTGCTGGCATGAGAACACTCACCGTGATGAACCAATAGGAGTTCGCTCTGTAAACCAGCCTGGACACGAAGCCAACCTGGCTGACGGGCGCCAGGACGTGCAGGTGCAGGTGGGAGATGGAGCAGAACGGCGGCATGTGGAAGCCCATCCTGCAACAGACAGGCTGGCTGAGCACCTCTCGGCGGCAGGCAGGGCCACTTCTCAGGTAAGAACGTGTAAACACTGACGGTAACCAAGACAGGTTGCCCGGGACAGACACGCTGCCACTTGCGAATCTTCAACGATTTTTTTCACGCATTTCCCAGTTCCTTTTCATGTTGAAATTCATAGTAATGAAAACTCTTTATCAAGGAAGGCCTTAGCAGCAGTGCGCCTCAGGGTGACCTTTATAAATTCGAAGTTGACATTCTTCTTATCCCTGAAGTCCTTACTATATTAAGCTTTAATTCTGCTAAGCTATGCCCTTGCAATGAATCAAAAACGGCTGGACACGCAAGTCCATAGCAGTGCTCCTTTATTCCAGACACAGCCAGCAGAGGGCGAGCTTTCTTCTTCAGTACCCTGCGCAGGTGTTTCCCTCCCAACATCCCACTAATGATGTCAATCAGAGCATCTTCTTAAACATTTTTGAGACAGGGTCTGCCTATGTAGTTCAGGCTTGCCTTGAGCTCACTTTGTAGCCCAGGCTGGTCTTGAACTTGCAACGGTCCTCCTGCCTCAGCCTCCTGAGTGCTGGGATTACAGGTGTGCACCACCATGCTTGGCTCAATTTCTTATTTAATATTATTCATAATTGTTTGCATCATAAAGCACAAGAAAATCCCTTACCTAGAAAAAAGGTTATCAAAATATGATTTCACATCTTCAAATTCAGTTTATAGGCAGTTTTTTTTTTTTTTTTTTGTCTTTTTGAGACAGGGTCTCCCTATGCAGTTCAGGCTGGCCTTGAGCTCACTTTGTAGCCCACACTGGTCTCAAACTCACAACAATCCTCCTGCCTCAGCCTCCCGAGTGCTGGGATTACAGACGTGCGCCACTACACCTGGCCACAAGCGGTTTTAAGAGCCCCCTTATGCCGAATGGAACAAGGCCGCCCTGGAAGGACTCACGTTCCCAAGCCTGAAGCACTGGGGACTGGGAGGAGGCACAGAATCGGGGCCAGCATGCGGCCCTTGCTTGGGGATGACAAGCATGCAGTGAAGTGGCGAAAGGCTGCTCTCACTGGCTAGCGGAGGGCTAGGTTTGCCCGCGAAACATGCATCTCAGGAAGTAGAATCAATCTAGAATCCAGAAGAAACTCAATCGTTTACTGACCATTTCATTTTTAAAAAAACTTTTTAAATTTAAGAGCTGGGCCCAGCAGCACATGCCTGTAGTCCCAGCTACTCTGGAGACTGAGGCAGGAGGATCAGGTGAGGGTAGGAGTTGAAGACGAGCCTGGGCAACACAGACTTTGTCTAAAGAACAAAACAGTAAGAGACTTTGCATAATCAGAGACAGAAAAATGAAACTCCAGCTCAGGGCTTCTTCCTTCTTATTCTAGCCTCATTCTTCTAATCGGTGCCCCTGCGCCCGGGGCAGGAACGCTGCCGTCAGGCCCCTCGTGCTCGTACACATGACACGGACAGCGCATGGAGGGTTTGCACACCCACGTGCTCGCTGGAGCCTGCAAGTGGCAGCACAGGTGTCACTGTGGAGAGGCGAAGGGCACATCTGCAGTCACGCATGTGACGTGGACACGTGTGGCTTCCTGGCTCAGGAGAGGGAGAAGTATCTTCTCTACCCACGCCTTCGTACTACCCACCTTTTGCAAGGGAAATCCGTAACCTTTTAAGGTCAAAAGCACTGTTTCGCTTAATTAAAACAGTTAATTGAAAACAAGGTGCTTTTGTTCAAAGTTTGGCAAATACTAGAGTTGAATTCAGCAGAAAGTGATTTCATGCTAGAAATCTAATGTATTTTTAAATCACATAAAAGCTTGTCTAAGAAAATTCACTGTGCACGTCAGTCAACAGGAACGCACAGACAGGACAAAGAAAAGAGGGCTGAGAGCGGTTTTAGCCCCCACTGCTCGCATGTACCGGCGTGACGAAACAATCCCAAAACTCAGTAACATCGCTGATTTCTGTCTGACACATACATACCTCACGTCTGCGAAGTCTGTGAAATTATTCTTTTCAAGGATGGTTTTGCCAACAGTTACCATGTTCTCAACTGCAAAACGAGGGGAAAAAATCATACTATAGGAGACACTAACATCACACCAAATGAGCAATATTCTGGGGGGTTTTTGGTGGCTCTGGAGATTGAACCGGGGCCTTCAACCCGAGCCACATTCCCGGGCTGGGCTCGAACTTGAGGCCCTCCGGCGACAAACACTTCAAGACTCGTTCAGCAGCATGAAGTGACCGGAAGTCTGCTAGACCACAACTGAAATGAATTTGAGCGGAGCCCCGGCGCAGGGACCCTTTCCCGAAACAGCACTTGGACAGACCGACTGTGGACAGCTGCTGTCACATGGCTGTTCAGTCATCTGGTCCATTGCAGTCTCACTGTAATCGCAAGTTCAGTAACTAACAGAAATCATTCGGATTAAGAAGAAAGCAGGCTCATTACAGCCTCACCCACAGGGGCCACAATATTAAATTATCCTACATGTCTACCAGTAGGCAAACAGAGTATGTCTGCATCTGTGTCTGTCCCACACAAAACGGTTTTCAGGCTAAAAAACAAGCAAGCAAGCAAGTCTGCCATGGAGGACCCCAGAGGGCATTACACCAAATGAACCAGCCAGCCTTCAGCCGTGGTAAGGAACAGCTGTGTTACAGTCTCTCCAGAGCAATCACTAGTAAAGAAGACAAGGCAAAGAGGAATGCTAAAACGTGGATCTGAATACTGCCGCTGCCTTACCCAATTCTACGTGATCTCTCTTTAGATCTTTGCAATTTCTGATGTGCTTCTTCGGTACCACAAGATAATGATGAGGTGCTGCTGGCTTGATATCTCTGAAGCAAACCAGGTCTTCATTCTAAAGGGAAAGTCACATGCATTGGTCAGTTCTTAAAAGCAGTGTCCCAACACCGTTCTGGCAGGATTTAAACATCATAAAGCTCTCAAAGGGAAACGGTCCTCGTGTCAGGAGTAAGCGCTGTTAAAAACAAGTGTTAGCGTGCATCATCAGATGGCCATTTATTCCAAAGACTAAAAAAGCCTCACATAAAGTAACTGCAGGAAAATAATTATGGGTAAAGTTAAGACTTCATTACCAACAATCCTAGAATGTTTAATTTCATGATACATTTTCCCATCCCGCCTTTACACTAAGGTACTTGTATTAAAGGTTGAACCACAGATTTTTAGCCAGATGAACGAACTCCTTTTTACATTTTTTCCAGAGGAACATTTTCCTCAGTTATGACACGAATGTCATTTAGCATCTATGTATCCAGGGATAACATCTGTAAATGTTTTAAGGAGTTACATATAAATACATGTTTTCCCTTTACTTGCCTCTTTACAGGAGTGGATTTGAACTGCTGAAACAGTCTCGAGGGTGCTGCAATCATTTATGGGCCCTAAATATGTGTTATGTCTGCCTCGTGTTACTATCAGTAAAATAAAAGGGGGCACAGAGTTAGGTCTCTTCTGGTTCTGACCTAGCCTGGCAGGTCGAGCTCAGAGGCGACGACCTCTGCATCTGTTCTTTCTCCTGGAAGCTGCTTCTCATCTCTCCTGCCTTCTCCGCGCAGATCCCTAACACAGGCCCCAGGGTCTCTCACCACAGCTGCCCGCTCCCCATTTCTTAACACTGCCTCTGTTCTCCCACTACCGCCTAGCGAGACCCCGATTCTGGGTCGGCACAACCGTCCACGTCTCCGGACCGACTGGGGCTCCTGCCGGGGGAGCAGTCACACAACCAAGCCGACCTGACGCCAGATGTGCGCAGCGCCGGGACCCGCACCTGTGCACGACAACGGTCCTCTGTACCCCGTGATCCCTCCTGACCTCCGCGCCACCGCCATCGTTTTCCTTCTAGAGGACCGTGGAACTGTTCCTTCACCTGCTTCCGGCTTCACGCAACACTCCCTTCATTATGCAGCTTCTCCGGACTAAACTTTTAAAACGGGTCCCCCTCCTTTTTACGCTTTTTATCACGGAACCTTCCTTATTACGTTGTGTGGTCCACTTCCTGCAGCCAGAATGCACGCTTGATGTGGGCAGGGACCCCGCGCACCGCACCTCCAGCTCCAGCCTTCCACAGCGGCTGGTCCTCGATGGGCACATGTAAAGGGCCGTGGCCGGAGGGGACACAGCCCTAGGTCCCCGGCCGCTTCAGCTCTCTCTCCATGAGGGTTTAAAAGCCTTCTCTTAGGCCCCATCGCCTCCTGCCTGCCACTTAGGCTCGCAATCCCTGCAAAGCTCCGGAGCCTGCCTCTGCCTCTGCGCTCAGGCGCTACCCGGGTCAGCGGCTTCAGGGGTGAAGCCAGCCCCGATCCCCTGGGTCCCGCAAGCACAGGCACTGCGGAGGTCGCCTGTCCGCACTGAAGGGCTGAGGAGGACACGGGCGACAGTCCCGTCCTCGGGACGTCCGCCTCTGCCTTAGCTCCCCCGCGTTCTTCGTTCTCTGCCTGCCCCCGCTCTGCACCCTCTCAGGGCTCCGCCAGCGTCCCAAGCGTGTCAGTCAGTGTTCGTTAAGGTCCCAGACGGGCCGCCCGCACTTCTCACTCCACGATCGGTAAAACAAGGGATGACAAGACCCGGGCTCCTCCGGGTCTCCGCTCAGCCCCTCCTTTAAAGGTGCGACGTCGCAGCCTGCAGTCCCAGCACACGGGCAGGCTGAAGCGGGACGATCGATCGTCAGATCAAGCCCAGCCTGGGCGACTCGGTGACTCAGAAAGACTGTCTCAAAATAAAAAGCAGCAAAGGGCTGGCACGCGGTCAGTGCGAAGGCCGAGGCTCCACGCCCAGCGCGTGCAGGGCGACACCCCCGCCCACAGCCAGGGCTCCGCGCCCGGCCGCCCCTCCGCGTGCGTCCCACCCTCAGCTTAGAAGTCTGCCCGGCGCCGTCCGTGATGCTCTCCCCGACTCCCCGACCCTCTCCCCGGCCAGGGCTCCGGGGAGCTCGGCGTGTAGCCGTGAACGAGAACACGAGCGCGACAGGTCTTGGGAGCCGAGTCTCCGCGGGGCTTTCCCCACAGACGAGCGGAACGGGACCGCGGAGGAGCGGACACCCGCGCGGAGCCGCCGGGCGCACGCCGTGCCGACGCGGCTGCACGCTCCAGGCCCGAGGCCACAGCGCCTTCGGACCGCACCCTTCACCGCCCCACGGCTTTCCCGACCGCCGCTGCTGTGTTTCCACCAGCTTTCCCATCGCGCTGGCCCTGCATTTGGATGCACAGAGCTTAAAACCTCTTGAAAGGCCGGGCGTGGCGGCGCACTCCTGTACCCGAGCAATCGGGAAGCTGAGGCAGGAGCGTCGCGGCGAGCACAAGGCGGCCTGCACGGCACAGCGAGGCCCCGTCTCCACGGACGTACGTAAGTTAATAAGCGCTCGGGACGGAGGCAGAAAAAAGCCCGTAACGGAAGCGGAGGCCACAAAGGGCGGTCTCACGCCAAGGACTCGCCCCGGGGCCCCCGCGCGCGCCCGGCCGCGCCCACCTCGCAGTGCAGCAGCTCGGTGCCGGCCTCCTGCCCCCGCGCGATGCGGCAGAACACGCACGTGGGGTCGCCGTCCCCGGGCTCCCCGGCGGGGGCGGACTCGGCCATGGCCCGAAGCCCAGACGCCCCTGGGGACCGCGCGCACCGCCTCCCGGTCGCCCGGAGGTGCCGCCCTCGCGCGGCGCAGAGACGCACCGGAAGTGACGCGCCCCGGGCCGGGCCGCCGGAAGTGGGGGGTGCATGGGGGGGTCTCCCAGATGGAGGCCGCTAGGGGGAGAGCGAGGTCGCGGCCCGCGGTCGTCCCGCCCCTTGCGTCTCGCGGGCAATGACGTCCGCCGAGGCGCAGGGTGCGCCGCGCGGCGTGATGGCGTCAGCGAGCGCGCGCTGGCGTTCTGCGAGGCTGTTGGGATCCGCGCCCGGCCGAAGCCCGCGGCGTGGCCGTGCACGTGCGCCCTGCGCTTCCGCTGAAGACGCAAAGGAGCTGCGGGAGCCGCGGCCCGCGGGAAAGGCGGGGCGGGCGTCCGGGGCTACGGGAAGGGCGGCGCCCGCGCACCTTCCTCTGCGTCCCTGCGGGCCGGGGCTTCTGCGCAATAAAGTCCGCAGTGGAAGGGTTAAAAACGAGTAAGTTGTCAAAATTCGCAGGCTGTGAGAGAGGCAGCAGAATTTCTGGTCTCACTCAGCAAAGGCGGTGTTTCCTGCCCAGTGTGTTTTTCCTACATAGTAATTCTAGGACTTAAGCTCAGAATTCAACTTCGTATCTGTTTATTCGCTTTTTGTTGTTCACAACCATCTAGATCCTCAGCTCACATTCCTCAGACGCAACTAAATGTGAGCCAGGCCTGGCGGGCCACACTTGTGGACTCCGGAGGCTGAGACAGGAGCATCTCCGAGTTTAGGCCAGCCTGGGCTGCAGAGTGAGTTCACAGCCAGTCTGGGTTACATAGCGAGACCCTGTCTCCAAAAAACGTATATTTTAAAAGAAAAAACAAAGCGAATGCAGAGTCCTGCAGTTGATAGTCTGAAATTCCAGAAGTTCACAGCCATTATTGCGTTGTGCCTCACCTGGACAGTTGCAGTAACCTACCTTACTGCCTGCCGGTTTCTGTCAGTCAAACAAAACCCACCGTCACTATTGTGCCCAAAGAAGAACCAGGTTTTTAGCTTGGCATTCGAGACGGGTTATGTCTTGACCCCCGCTTTTTATGATGCTTGGCTTTTGCTGAGCATCTGCCCTGTGCCATGCGTTTCCGAATCCGCAGAACAGCAAGGTTGGCTTTATAGTCCCCTCTCGAGGTGAGGAAGGAAGCCAGATTCGCCCAGTACCATGCAACTAACAGTGACAGGTCCAGATAAAATTCATCTAACTTCAAAACCCATCAGTCAGGCATGTGGCATGTGGCTACTGCGGAGACCGAGGCAAGAAAATAAAATTCAAGGCCAACCCGGGCAACTTAGATGGTGTTGTAAGATTTAAAGTCTGGGAATGTGACTCAGTGGAGAGAGCACTTGCCTAGCGTGTGAAGCCCTGGGTACAATCCCTGGAACTGGCGTCAACACCAAACCACCATCCACCTTTTTGAACATAGGTACAATTTTTTTTATTCTTTTTATCTTTTGGGTTTTTTCTAGCCAGGGTCTTGCTATGTAGGTCAGCCTGGCCTTGAACTCACTATGTAGCCCAGGTGGTGGTCCTCCTGCTTCATTACAGGCATGTGCCACCACGCCTTTTTTAAGACTGAAAAGAAAACCTTTTGGAGTAGCAGGTTACAGTAATTATACCACTGGTCTTTGTTAATTTAGAAAATGCATAATAAGAATTTGTAGTGTGATACTCACTGTTTCCTTAGCAGCACTACACTTTCGCCTCACCGTGTTTTTACTCATGCTGTTTCCTCTGCAATAGTTTTGTTCCATTTCTGCAAGCCAAATTCACTCCTCAAGTGTCACCTCCTTCATAAAATATTAACCACACCGAAAGTCGCACTTCCTCTCATGAGGTGATATAGTAGTAGTTCAATACTACTTTTGTAGAACTTACCATGTCTTCCCGACAGCTATGTCTGTACGGATTTTTGCTACTAGCAATTAGGTTCTTTGACAGTAAGCGCACGTGTCTTTGACCCTTCTAAAGTACGGTACCTAGCGCAATGCTTTGCTTATAGGTGGACGTCTAACAGTTCCCTAATAAACAGGACCATGATTCAAAGCACTGCGTGGGTGTTCAGGTTTCTGGGTGTAAGGAAACCAAGTAAGAGTGAGCGAATTCATATTTTCCATTGTATTCACGTATAGAAAAGTACAGGCAGACCTCAAGTCTTCAAGTTGTTGGCCAAGTTGTGGAGAGTTGGCTGAATTCAACAAACACCTGCCCGAGGTGCCTCTGTTCTGACCGTTCCTACTTGCTGAGATTGCTCCTCTCACCTGGCCCTTTCAGGAGCTCTCCTATGTTTCCCAGCTTTGAACTTCATGTAGATACCCTCCGTGGAAGTGCGGAGAACCACAGAACGTATTTGCAAATTGTGCAGGGAATGTGTGCATAGATGGTGTGGGGCAGACGCGTCCATGTGCAAAGGGAGGGCTGTGCTAATGGATGACGTGGCAAGGTTCCCATGGGAACCGCCATTCAGGTTGGGCAATACATTAAATCTACTTGCAAATGGAGCGCTCTTTCATAATTTATAATTCCATATCCATGGTAACGGGGCCCAAGTTACGTACCTTCTTGTGTTGAGGCACAAAAGTTACTCATCCTCATGTGCTCGGGCTTTGTACTCATCTATTAAACGGAGATACTAATGCTGCGTAACGAATGGCCATGTTGTATCAGGACATCACATTGTTTGAAAATAGTGCAGGCTATGGATTTGCGTCTTAACGTTCCATAATGCGTAACAAACACTTAAGGAGAGCCTGCCTTGAACGTCACCTTGCCCATCACGGATGGATGGATGTATTACTGTGCTTCTCTTTGCCAAGAAATTCCTCACAGCAATTACCTGCACTCTTTTCACCCTGACTCTTGGCCTCCCAGGGCTTCCTGTCAGGCTTTCCCTTGGCACCCCTCCATCCCAGAGCCTCCTGTCAAATTCACCAGTCACTTCCGTGTCACTAAGCCCAACAGTCAATCTCAGCCCTCATCTTTTCAGCAGCAGCTGTCATTATCCCCGGAGAACTGTTTCTTCTCCAGTTCTGAGGCACCACCCTTCCTTGGCTCCCCTCCCTTCCTGGGCTATTCCTTCTTTTTCCAGCTTCTTCCAAACCTCTCTCTGCAGTAAACGGCTTTGGTCCAGGTTCTCTCTCTTTAGCTGCACTCTCTTCTTTGGTCATCTCACACAGACCCTGGCTTTAAACATCATATATTTTGTGGTGATTCCCAAATTTGGATCTCCAGGCTGGTCTTCCCTGAACCAGACTTGGAACATCCAGCTGTCTACTCAGCCACCCGCCACAGGTCTAACGGGTGTCTAACACATCTGAAGCTGAGCTCATGAGAGCGGCTCCTCTCTCCGCTCTAAATCCTGCCGCCATCTTAGGTGAAAGACGCTGCATTCTCTCTGCTTCTGAGTTTTTGTCCCGAGTGGTGGCGACATGCAGTGTTCTCCACCTAGGTTGTGAGCACGTTTGGGATTGGGCAGGTCTGAGAGGAGCACCTCGTCAGACACATCCAATCCATCATCTCTTCAAAAAATGCAAAGTGGACTACGAATGTAGCTCATGGTAAAGGCCCTGGGTTAATCGCCAGTGCTGAGAAGAAAAGGAAAAACCAGAAAGGCAGAGATACCGGAGAGGCTGCACACAGTGACTGTTGCTACAAGACTCACAGTAAGTCCGTGTTGCTCAAATTCTGTTCCTTGCAACCTTAGGAGACTAAACTGTCCCACCGTCTTTCCTCCACCAATTTTCAACTCTATCCCATTTTAAATTCTTACATACTTGCTTCAGTTTGTAACTCATGGTCTGATACCCTCGTTCATTTACTCACACACTACTAAGTTGTTCCATTTTTGTATGCATTCTTTGCAGCCTATACCTGCAACAGGTGTTTCAGGATGCTCCCTGCGCCCAGGCCCACGGCAGACGCAAACCCCTGTGCGTGAGAAATGGCCTTCTTCACCATCCCATCGAGCCTGGCATCTGGCACACCACGCAGTGAAGCACTGGTTGAATGGGTGGGTGTGTGGGTGGGCGAGTGGATGGTTTTCACACATTTGGGAGTAGAAATGTTCTCATGGCATAGCTGCTGCTTCAGGGATTGAACTCCGTAGACAAGCAAATCCTTGCTGGGAGCTTCCCTGGATACGGCCTTCAAGAGGAAGCTGCCTGCTGGGCGGCAGCCATAGCATGGAACAAGGATTAGCTCAGAAAGCGAGTTGCAATAACTGGTCACTGCTTCAAGGAAAAACCAGACCCCAGTTAAACAGTGCCCCCAAACATCACTAATGGAATTAAGAATTCAGATGTAGAAAAGGATGCCAAAGAACCGGTACGAATTTTGTTTAATGTAGGTGAATATTCACTTTGTCTTGTAGGGGGGAAAGTTAGGGCTAAGTTCTTCAGATGGATTCCACAAAATAAATCATTGATTGAGGTAAAATAGCATTGTTAAAAACTATAAATTACACAGAGCGTGCTGGCACATGCCTGCAATCCCAGCATTCAGAGGCTGAGGAAGGAGGATTGCCAAGAGTTCAAGGCCAGGCTGGGCTATATATAGCAAGTCCTTGTCTCAAAACACAAACAAAAAAGTATAAATTCCCAAAGTGGCACTGACAGACAAATGACCATTTGGGTAAATATGTTTGCAGCATGCACAGGAAATAGGGTTACTGTGAATATAGGAAGTGTTTTACACAACCATTAGAATGAATTCAAAGCCCCAGTTTAGAACCAACAAAGCAGGTGATATGAAAGTAACTCATTAAAGGAAAAAATGTAGTCAAAAAATATATGGGAAATACGCTCAGACAGATTGGAAGTCAAAATTAAATAACAATAAAGTGACATTTTTCTCTTGTCAAACTGCCCCATTCCTTTGTATAACAGCGTCCAATACCATCAGGGTGCACAGAAGTTAATACTCAAGGACACAACTGAAATTGAAATTGTGGCCTCTGCATTCCTGGTGCCTTTGTTGAAGAATTTCCGGAATGAGGACGGGGAAGATGGGCTACGGGAAATAGTTTTATGAGGGTCAGGGCCCGGTAAATGATGGTGGCCCGGGCTCTGATGCTCTCTGAGCCGCAGACAGGAACACGGAGAAGGGGCACTGAGAAAGCTGAGGCAACCAGGGAGAACAGTTGCCTCCAGAATGATGACTCGTCCACTTGGCCTCCCCGACGGTTACCAAACATAAACAGTGCTCACCTCGAAGCAGCTCCTCCACAACATGCTACATCTTGTCTCCCTTTGCCCCACGCACAAGTACACTGCACATTCCTTCGTCATGCTCTCTGTCACCAGTTTTATTCTCCTGACTAGATCATTACTCTCTGCCTGCACACATGCTATCATTTCTCCCACTTTAAAAATATTTTTTAAAATGTTTTAGCCTGCTGTCTTGGTTACTTTTCTCTCTTTGCTGAGACAAAATACCCAATGCCCAAAATTAAGGAAGGAGAGGTTTACCTTAGCTCACAGTTTGTGGAAGTTTCAGTCCATACTCAGCTGGCTCCAAGGCAGCGTGGCACATGGCAGAGAGCAACTGTTCTTGGTGGGGGAAGACAGCAAAAGCAACAAGAGCAAAAGGGGGGAACAGTGGCAAGCAGCCTCTTTCCCTTGTTTACACTGTTTGCAAACTACCCGCCCCAGGGCAGGTGTAGCACTCACCCATAATCCCAGCAGTGGACTATGTATGGATCAATCAAAAATCTAGAAACCCACTTAGGACTGCATGAGGATTTGGGGGGACATGCAGACACAAACCATAACTACTTTCCCTACTAGCACCTATTCCAAGTATTTGTTGCCTTGGCAGAAAAACTTGCAAGAAGCATCCCTGCACCACTCTCCAATTCCCTCCCTCCATTTCCCTCCTTGACCGACTGTTCTAGACTTTCACTCCACCCAGTCTGCTCTTGGAGACTATAAATGATCACATTACCAGATACAATGGTTAGTTCTCAGCTGGGTTCTGGGGTGTTGGGGACTCCTTTGAGAGACTTTTTCTGGGTTTTTGTTCTGAACAAAGAATTGGACAAGATAAGTGCAAAAGGTAGTGGGATTTTACGCTTATTAAAGGTAGGAAAAAACAAAGGTAGGAAAAGAAATAATGCTGTGCAGAGTGAGGGCAGACAAGTTAATGTAGGAAAGGAAGTGCACCTACAGAAAGAAAACGCACTAAAGCAAAAGAGAGTGCGCAGTGGCCATAAGGCCGATGGCCGCCATCTTTGCAGCCCCATTCTGACGTCAGATCTAGGCTGTCCTGTCAGAAACCTGATTGACGGAGAAGAATAGAAGATAGCATTTCTGATTGGTCCCTGGTGTAGGGTTTGGAAACTGTTCCGTGTATGTCCTGGGTCTTCATGATGGAGGTGTCGTCTCCACTTGCCCGTTGGACATGGCTGGCCACGTCCTAATCTCCAGCCTCAATTCTCTTACCTAGCAGTGGCAGTTGGCATGTTTTCGTATTCCCTCTCCCTCAGTTATTTTAAGGTCACTGCATTTCCTTGGTTTTCTTTCTTCCTCCTAAGCTCTTTCTCCCATTTCTTTATATTTTCCCCTGCAAACTGTGTTGGAGCACCCAGGGCTTAGTCCCTGGTCTTCCCTACATTTCCTTCCTTGATTGTATCCAGTCTTCAAGCTCCCAATTTAGGAATGCCCTCTATTTCTGCACTTAGAATTCAAGTCATACATTTCTCCAAGTCTAAGTCCAGCACACTTGGTATTTCCAATGCAAATGTCCAATAGATTAAAGTGATGACCTCCCAACTTTTCTTTTGATCACATGCTCCTGATTTTGGTTAATGGCAAGGAAATCTTTGCAGCTCTGCATCCTGTAGCTCCTGGCTCGAAGCCTCCATTCCCATCCGCAAGGTAATCCTCTTAACTTGCGCAGTGCCATTCTCCTTCAGCCAGGACAGGGCTGGAACCTGAGTCCCCACCGTGGAAAGGGGGCCTGTGCTCCTCACCACTGAGCTGTGCAATGATCCACACACGTTTGGGTTTTTTTGGTTTTTGTTTTTGTTTTTTTCCGGTACCAGGAATCGAACTCATGACCTTGTGCTTGCCAAGCAGGTGCTGTGCCACTGAGCTAAAGTTCCAGCCTCTCCACACACATGTTAAGTAGGCTACAGGGCAGTGTGTTTAGTGCAATTACATATTTGTTAAATAAATGTAAGAATTGGTAAGAAAATTTCTAAAAGAGTATATTAGCACTGTGATCTCTAAATGGAGGAAATATGGCTTGATGTTTTCCTTTTTCTTCTCTATCTTATATTTTATATTTTCATCAAAGAAAATATATTACTTTTGTCACAAGGAAAACATCAAAACAGATTTGTTTTGTTTTCCAGTACCGGGAATCAAATTCACTACCTTGCACTTGCCAGGCAGGTGCTGTGCCACTGAGCTAAATCCCCAGCCCCCAGATATTTTTTAAAAAACTTCAGGATTCTATAGAAACTTGGTTTCCTTTTCTAATTGTCTGAGTCATAAATAATCTCATTCCATACATTTTCCAGTTGTGCAATCATCATGCTAGAAGATACAGAGCATTCTCAAACAAGTCTTTTGCTATTTCTGGCAGATGTGGACCGTTGAGCTGCTACGGCCACATTTCTGATGTGGTTTTGTGCTTCTGTTTTAGTGAGGATGTAGGGTTTCTCTTAATCTGATTAAAAGATCGCCATGGCAGTAAGCATCCCTTTTTCTGCATCCTAAATAAAAATTAAGTGAAATAAATATGAGAACTTTCCCTTTCGTAAATAGCAATAACTTCTGCTATTCGCCCTTGCCTCAAGAATATTCGATTTTTGGGAAGGTAAAAGAGAAGCAGGCATGAACATGTTTCTGTCTGGATTAAGGAAAAGGAAATACTTAAGGCCCCGCTGTTGCTTGGCATCCACACTGCAGGCATCCATTGGCTTCTGTTTGCTGGAAAGGGTGTAAAATTTCTGGGCAAAGGAGGGGACTGAGGAGCGGCTGTGTGCGGGAAAGAGACATTTCCAGTTTCTGGTTACTAAACTGAGTGCTCTTGGACAAACACTAGCAGGTGCCCTGCAATTCTAACTTGTGTCTGCTTGACTGGTGTCTTTTGGTCCTTTACGAAAGGATGTTACGAAGTCTTGGTCTGTCATTCTTAAATGGAGGCCATGTAAACCATTTGTAATGTAGAGGATGACCAAAGAAAACAACCCTTCTCATAATCCCGTTTCTTCCCCTGATAAATTATTTTGTTTGCCTGTCTCCTGAATATAATGCAGATACTTCTGCTTTCTTTCATAACATGTTTTTAAAAGCCTGGTCTTCAAACAAAGCATTGACAGGAATTCCTTTTTTATAAATCAAGAACAACATTGTACTTGGATATTGTATTCTTAATAAAGCATTCATAACCAGCACCATAGTAACTCTAACTCACGTTTATCATTTTATAATTTTAAGGCATATGTGTATATATGTAAATTTATTTAATTCTCATAAACACTTGGACAACAGGATATTGTTTTTTTTTTGTTGTTTTTGTTTTTTGAGATAGGGTTGTGCTGTGTAGTTCAGGGTGGCCTTGAACTCACTATGTAGTCCAGACTGGCCTTGAACTCACAGCTATCCTCCTGCCTCAGCCTCCTAGAGTGCTGGGATTACAGGAGTGGTTCACCATGCCCAGCTTTTACCCTATTTTTAAAACAGAGAAAAATGGGACACAGAAAGTTGGATCAGCCTGCTCAGGAAAAGTTCCTTGTGGCCGACAGGGGGATCTTCTTGAAGTCCTTTCAATTGTAGCAGGGGCACTTCTCCTTTCCCTGGAAACAACGGCAAACAGCATCGTGAAGACAAGACCGCACTCTTCTCCTGACATTCACACCTGCGCAGGATTCCTCACACTCTGAGAGCCGTGTTCTCCGCCGAGCTCACCCGGGCTCCTACCTGCCGCTCTCGATGTAAACAAGTCTCTTTATCCCAACTCCTCCGGGGCTTTTCTCCAGACCTTTTTGCTATCACTGACTTCCCTGGAACACTTTCCTCCGCAGAAACCACCATTTCCCTGTAAGGGGTCTCCACCCTGCTCGTCCTCCCAGGGCCAGCTTGGTCTCCCGAAACTCAAGCCTGCCTTCCCCCAAGGGCACCAAAGGGCATCGTGTCCCTTGAGGCTCAGTAAGCAAATCGGCTTGGTCCTTTCGCCCATCAACATGCTGAGAGATTTGGAAGCAAGGCTGGCATTCTCTGTTTCTTATCTGCTGGTTCTGCGAGACTCCATACCTACAGTCTCCCAGCTTTGTCTCATCTGACAGCCTGAGGCACAACTGTCTCCCAGCTTCTAGATCATTTTCCATCCGCACCTGGCTCAGGACAGCTGCCAAATCCCTGCCATGAACTCAGACGACTTTAAATCCATGGCTCGTGGCATCTCAAACCCTGGGCTCGGCTGCTTTTTGCCTCTATTCCTCTCTGACATAACCCACTCCCCTGGCGAAATCCTAATGCAGTCTTCACCCAGACTCCACGAGAAGCTGAACTTC